TTTTTATACTTATGTGTTTTTGACTCTTATTATTTTAATTTTAATTTTTTTTTATTTGTATTGATCCTGTAGTTATGTTATGTTTTAGCCCAGAGACAAATCTTTAACTTCTTATGAATAATGTTTTTTAAAGATGGTATTTTGAGATGTTTTCTATGAAAATAAATAATTAAATGGCAGTAGTACCGCTTTTTGTGTTTCAATGTTTTTTTTTTGTTTTTTTTTTTAAATGAAATGTTTCACTGTTTGTCATCTTCTTTGCTGGGATCTGTGGATGACCAGAGATTTTATCCCTGAGCAGTCCCCCAGTATAAACAATAAGGTAAATAAATAGATAAAAAATGAAAGGAAATTGTCAGTTCAGAATTCATTCCATTTGGTAGGCCTATTGGATTTGTATCAAGTGTAAACCAATTGAGGAAAGGAGATTTTCTGCATTAATATAAAGAATAACAAAGAAAATTGGTAGGCCTGTTGGATTTGTATCAAGTGTCAAGATACATCGATTTTTAACGGAATTCGGATAATTGCCGTACTAAAAGTTGGTTTCTATTGATTATTAAGTAGTTTTCTACTCTCGTGTGGTAATATTTTTATCATTTTTGCACCCGTGTGGTCGCAAGTGGTCCCGTGTGGTATTTAGTAGGACCCTTTTGGTCTGGTGGGAGGTGGTGGTGGTCGCTATTATTTGATTGCCAGAAAAGGCCATATTACTTACCCTGGCAAATTATTTTATTGGACAACAACAATAGTGCATCTGATGATTTATATTCACACATACTTAAAATAAAAATAGAAAAGTATTATTTTTTTGTTTATTAGGAGATTTATATTATTCGAGTTGACAAACTTTTTCTAAACAAAAAATTTATATTCTGCCAACGTTTAATGAGCTCTTCAATTCCCCGATCCTTCACGCGTAAAGTCTTGCTGCAAAGATCTACGGTAAAATGGTGTAGGTTTTCAGGCCTAGGCTAGGCATTCGTTGCATATTGTTCACCAGCATGGCTTCCAGTAACATCGTTAATGAACAACCTACATGCAGAACAATTGGTGTCATTCAGGGTTTACCAGGTCGCAAAAATGTAGTGATATCGCCTGCTGTGAATTGGACAGGCATTGAACGCGATAGTCACGTTGTTTATTTCCCAGGGGATGTTCAGGTTCGTAGTGTTGTTATTGACAAGGTTCAAGGTAATGGTATAGGCCGAGCGAATTCCCGACCGAGCCCTAGTAGTACAGTACAGTGTAATTCAGATTAACCATGGTTTATATACTGTACAACTATACCTTTCTACAGTACATCCCTGATTTAATCACAAACAAGTAATAAAATATATTTAGGCCTAGCCTAGGCTAGGGGCTAGGCCTAATAAATAATGACTGTTAATTATAGTAATACAGATATTGTTAAAAGCTGTTACTGCTGGCAGCTGCTGCGGAAGGTTAACTTAACAATCCTGATCTTCTCTATTTAAAATCATTCAAAACATTCCCGTGTTTGCCATGCCAACAAATTAAACAGTGATTGAGTCTTGTTTAGAATATTGGATTGGCAGTCCATTTCCACCATCATACCTGTGTCTAAACGTAGTATGGTAAAGGCCTAATTGGTTTTCTGTATGTAGGGAAGGTTGAAAATTGCGTATTTTTACTGAAATTGAATATAAAAAGAAGTTTTAATATAAAAGTGTATGTGATACAGTAGTAGGCTTACTATGGGTGTTTAGAAACCTAAAGACCCTTGAAAGCAAAGATCTAAGAACTAGACTATTTCTAGACAATAATACCTCTATTATTACATATACAACAGTTTGTAGAATAATTAACTGTCTCGACTACTTTGTATCTGCTTACTGTACAGGGTTTTGCTCAAGAAATGGCTCTGCATAGAGTGGGGAAGAAATGGGTGAAATGGAGTTTTGAAAACACAGCCACAATCCTTCAGGAACGCTTTCCAACTTCCTGGATCTGGATCATTGGCCCTCATAGGTTTCATGAATCACTTTTCAGTTGCTATGACAATTTTGTTGAATGTAACATTATCGGTTCTCCGATTGACTTCCAATACAGAGACTCAACCAAACACCTCCAGCTACTATTACAAGGAGCATGTAGAAGTCTTGAGAATATTTTGACTACCAATATCAAAGAAGGAACTAAGAAAGTACAGGTTTTTACTCATTATGATGATTGCAAGAAATCAGTTGATGAAAATATGCACAAGGAGACATTAGTTAACCCTTATTTACCATTAAAACTTGTCGGGTTTAGTAAAGGTTGTGTGGTCTTGAATCAAATTGTGTCTGAAATGAAACAAACACAGGAAGCCAATACAGAACTGAAGAGCTTTGTGGAGCAAATATGTGCAATCTATTGGCTTGATGGAGGACATTCTGGAGAGGAAAGCACATGGGTAACAGATCGAGAAGTTTTAGAAGTATTGGCTAAAACAGGGATCAGTATCCACGCCCATGTTACGCCATATCAGGTTGATGATGTCGCCAGGCCTTGGATTGCAGAAGAACACAAAATATTTCTGGAAGTTTTGAAGGAACTTGAAGGCAATGTTACTGAAAAGCTTCATTTTGAAACAGAGGAAAGATCACTTGGTATTCATTTTAAACTCTTGAAACATTTTTGATATTTGTCTTTTTTAGGATACAGTATACTGTAGAGCTTATTTAAACTTAAACAATTTAATTCAAGAGTTGAATTAATTCCTCACTTTTTATTTAATAAAGAAATTTAATAGCTTTCTAGAGGGTCCACTGATTAGTTTTAACAGATACAAAAGAATACTGTAATACAATACATACTCCAAGAAATGAAATACACGCCATTGTGTTAGGATTTAATATTTTGACTCCTAGTCTTTAGCTTTCAGTTGTAGATTAGAATGATAATTTTTTTTATCTACAGTAACATGCAAATTCTTTGCAAGACCATGTGCTCTCAAATACATTTTTGCGAATTAGACCTAATTGACACTGCCAATTTACAATATTATTATGTGGCAAGTTTAAATTCTGTTGTTGGTCAAATTTGACCTGTGAACTATATTATTTGACCTGAGGCAGTTTGGAGTGGAGTTGAATAGCTTAATGGTAAGTGAAGGTGCTTGCCTTCTAATACCAGGTCCTGGGTTCAATTCCTGTGGTAGCAAGACTTTTTCTTGGTTGAAAAAATGGGCATTTAATAATATACCATGTCTGTAATATCTTTTAGATAAACTTTATCAATTTTATTGTTGAATTATGTGCAATATATTGAAAGAGTTACATTAAAAACCAATTATAAATTACAAATATTGCTTCTACTGACAATTTTATATAATTGTGATACAATATAGAATGTAATTGAATGGTTTGTAATTTTATTCAGCTTTGAATTATGTACTGATATATTTTCCAATTTTTTTTTCATATGAAATTACACATGTACATGATAAATGTGTTTAAGAATAAATTGAGTATGATGTAATAAACTTATTTGTGAATTGTGATTTATACAATATCTATCACACTACAATTCAAGACCTCTCTAATTTCGAGTTTGAGGGCGAACTGTATTGTTACTCTACAACTGTGATGATGTTCTGAAGTGTCTCAATGTTATAGAATAAGATTGCAGTTTTTAAAAACAAACGCTGGACACCTACATAATGGACCTTCCCAGAGTGCCAGTCAAACTTAACAATCATATTTCCAGGTTGTTATTAAATAAAATAAGCAAACATGTCGGTTATCTAATAAGTGTATTATGGCAACATAAATGATAACACCATCACTCAGGTAATTATCATTTTTTTGCGAATTTTGCAGCCCTTACTTTTCACAAGTTCGCAACACTAGTACTGTACTAGAGTAATAATAAATTCTGCAATGTCAATTTTTTTTTGTTATTATTAACAATGAATAAATGAATAATACAGTAAAAAGGAAAATATAGAAATTTGTATTTATTTGTCCTACTTATTAAGCATTTGTGGAAGAGTTGAATGTTAAAGATGTATCAGACCAATTTTAAAACAGGAATTTGTAATATTTAAATATACTGTACTGTATCTCCTCTGAGAAAAGATTTTGTTACTCTACAACTGTGATGATGTTCTGAGGTGTCTCAATGTTATAGAATAAGATTGCAGTTTTTAAAAACAAACGCTGGACACCTACATAATGGACCTTCCCAGAGTGCCAGTCTTGAAAACTTAATCATATTTCCAGGTTGTTATTATATAAAATAAGCAAACATGATTTATTTTAATTCTGCCAAAATGATCCACTTTGACTGACATAGTCTGCAGTAGCAAACGAGCATCGAAAATATGATTACTGTATACTTCAAGATATTTTTCTTATACCAAAGGATATAGAAGCTTATAAAATGGAGCTATTAAGTTGGCTTCATGATTTACTTAATACACAGTATTAATTACCAAAAATCTTATAATAATGAGGACGTGTTTCATTTGGTTCCCGTTGATCTTTGTCACGGTTGAGTTATTTCCTCAGCTTTCGTTTTATAAATGTCAAATGTCAACAAGAAGAAGTCGGTGTCAATGTTTCAACAAAAGTCCTTGGTTTCAACGGGGATTTGTTATCAATTCAAGATTTTACTATACGTATGAAAGGTGATCCAGTATGTTGGAGTAGCTTCTGTATTAATTACTTTGTACCTGTATGTTCATAATAATAAACACTAATTAGGCTAGGCCTGTTCTTTACCTTCTAGAATATCCCCTTCTCCTACCTAGCCTAGCTAGGCCGGCCTTCTTAGAAAGTAGATGTGTAGGGCCGGGTAGGGCCCACCTGAATGAATAGGTAGCCCTAGGCCTAGACCTCCTCCTGCTAGCCTAGGGTTGCATGGTAGGGCCTTATCCCGAGGCGGAAAAAGAAGGGCTTGGCCAGGCTTCGAGTGTTAGATAGCTAATAAATGATGACTTGAAAGACTATCCATCTCCAGGATGTTCTTCGCACTCCCATACATTACTGCAATCTTGAATATGAATTAATCCTATTAGTTTTACGGCACTAACGTATAAGCATGCAAATATTTTAATTCAATTCATTTCTGTTTTATGGAAGTGCATCATTTGGATAATATAAAAAGGTAAATATTAAAAATTGCACATACTGTATATTATAAAGTGATTATATAAAAAAACTAAAGAACAATGTGTAAAAACATTCACAGATTCAGAATAATAATTTACAAAAATTCCATTCCATAGATCTAAAAATTCATTTATATCTCAGAAACCTCCTTGCATCTTCAATTATCTACAAAGCCACCGTAACCACAAATGACGATGTCAAAGGGTACATCGGACTCGCAGACAACACTTTCAAAACCAGATTTACAAATCATAAGCACACATTTAGCTCTCCGAACCATAAGAACAGCACCGAATGATCAAAACATGTATGGAAACTTAAAGAAAGCAACACCTAATTCAACATTAAATGGTCCATAATTGACAAAGCTATGCCATACAGTACACAAACAAAGCACTGCAATCTCTGCCTTACTGAGAAATTTCGCATAATTTATTCAAACAAACCATCAACATTAAACAAAAGAACCTAGCTGCTTTCAAAATGCAGACACAGAAACAAATTCCTACTCACTGAATACGTAACACAATTAGCATATACACCTACTAAACCTCATATATACCTCAATTATCTTTCTATCCACTCACTCCTGAAGATTGCTACTGAATGAAACAGCTGTAGAGTAAATTCATGCTTGACATACCTTTCTATTATTATTATTATTATTATAATATATATATATAATATATTTATATATAATATATATGTGTAAATTCATTATATATATATATATATATATATATATATATATATATGTGTGTAAATTCATTATATATATTATATTATATTCATTATATATATTTACAGTAAGGGCCTATCCATTATATTTTAAAATATATTTGCAAAGCAAATTTTACAAATGTAAATGTACCGTATTTATTAATTGTTCTGTAGTCTTGGCATTTTAAATTTTATTTACTGTATTCATTTTTGGCGAGTTGCTCAATTATAGACTTCTTATTTTGTGCTTCGTGAGTTTGATGTTTTCTATGTCGCTTTTTTTTAATACAGCTTGGCAGGAAAGCAGGCTCACAGCATGCGATTTTTTAACAATGCCATCATGCAAGTGACGGCATTTTATTGGGTAAAGCAATTTACCGTACATTTAGCAAACCAAAGTTGAGATACGGTAACGTATCTCTAGCCACAGCGTAAATACTGTATATACTAGGCCTAATCCTTATTTTTTACGTTAATGTTGCATTACTGTACACAAACTGTATTATGGTTTCATGCCTCATACACATGCTGTAGAAATACACTGCAAATTTATTGGATAAAAACTGGATAACTAAGTTACACACCACTAGTTTTTGGGAAAGAATAACATTTGAAGATCAATATAAATGAATGCTTATTTTCACTTGATAACAGGCTGGTTCAATTAGCTAAAAGTGTCTCCTTATTCTGTGATGATCCCAGCTGCTGCAAGAATTATCCGAGTTCATTGCCTTCAGTGTCAGTTCCTGCTATTGAAGTATTTTAAAGGTTGAACTTTCAATTTTACTAGCCTTCATTCTGTTAATTATTCTGTGTATAGGCCAATAATTAAATGATAATCACAACACAAATTTTTTGAATGTACAGTATAGTTTTCTACAGACAGTCATGAAAACACCCCCCCCCCCCTTCAGTTCTGTCTCTTAGACCCATATCACATCATGTCACCACTTTGTGGAGTGAACCATACACAGCGCACATCATTTACATAACAATATACTTACTGTACATTGATTTCACCATAGTTTCTGAGTAGTAACATTTTATTTTTTGAACCATACTCAAATCCTGTTTTGGGCACCCACCCATGTTGGACCAATAAAATTTTAGACCTAAAACCAATGTACACAATTGCAAAATATGCATCATGTTCAGTAAAAAAAGTATCTGTGGTTCATTCCTGTGAATCTTCCCATGCCTATAACATACCTACTGCAGCCATATTATGTGAAAACAGTGTAATACTGTATATCTATTAACAGAAATTACATCTTATATGTTTCTACATTTAGGAGGACGTGGAAAACTTGTGAAGTGTTACCTTGAACGAATCAAAGTTGATTCTACTAAAGAGAAAGGGATTTGTCCAAATTGCAAGACACAGTTTGGAAGACTGACAGAAATCAAAAGAAAAGAGGCAATTAAGATTATTCAGGGGAAAGTTTTCACAAAAAATTGACAAGGAGCATGGCAGATATACAAAGTGAGTATGAAAGATAGTTGAGCAGTTTACTGTTTTATGAAATGTTTATTGGAGCAGTGTGAGCAATTCCCTTATTTCAAATACCAGTGGACCTTCTGCTAAGCCTGTTTATTGGGGCAGTGTAAGCAATTCCCTAATTTCAAATACCAGTGGACCTTCTGCTAAGCCTGTTTATTGGAGCAGTGTAAGCAATTCCCTAATTTAAAATAACAGTGGACCTTCTGCTAAGCCTGTTTATTGGAGCAGTGTAAGCAATTCCCTAATTTCAAATACCAGTGGACCTTCTGCTAAGCCTGTTTATTGGAGCAGTGTAAGCAATTCCCTAATTTCAAATACCAGTGGACCTTCTGCTAAGCCTGTTTATTGGAGCAGTGTAAGCAATTCCCTAATTTCAAATAACAGTGGACCTTCTGCTAAGACTGTTTATTGGAGCAGTGTGAGCAATTCCCTAATTTCAAATACCAGTGGACCGTCTGCTAAGCCCCTCCCCTTGGATATTGTTGCTAAGGTACCCCAAAACTACAGTGTAAAAGAAAACATACATGAACACATGCGTTTGTGGGACAACATGTGTTTGTTGGACACATGTATCCCTGTCTCTTTTCTCACTGGTCAGTTCATTGTTAAGTTTGATTGACAGTCCAAAAATATGTATTACTGTAGCTACATGAGCAATTCTCTCCAGTCAAAAGTCAAGTAAATATATAATTATTCAAAGGAAATTACATTGCTCATATCATGGACAGACTAAAACACAAATTGACTGGCACTAGGCTATGACAGTATGGGCAGTTCACTAACTTCAAGTAACCCAAAAATATGAGGTGTAATACAGTATGAGCGATTAACTGTTTTTTCAATTTTACCACATAATATGTGCATTTGGATCTGCATGATGAGCATTTTACATTATTCAAATACTGAAAAAAGTTTGGTGCTGCTGTATCAGCATTTTGCTCTCTTCAAATACCAAATATATATTGGAGCTAGAGTATGAGTTATTCACTTATTAGTCCTTTCACCCCAAATACTTTTTCCGTTTTTAATCAATAGGTTGTCTAGATGATATGTCAGTTATTGATGAAGAGTTGCTAGAAGTTGAAAGTGAGCTGCATAGTATACTAGAGAGACAGTCTCAACTATTAGAGAGGAAAAGAAGGCTACAAGCAAGACTGGATCTCATCACAGAGAAGAAAGCATTGGATACAAACAAAAGAGATTATTCAAAGTCAGGTACTCGATAAAATGTTATGTATTTCGTTATCTCCACCATACAGCAGTGCAATATAGTTATGATGCATTTCTTCTATACTCTGTTCTTAATTTTTGTTTATACATTCCTTGGTGAAAATATAGAAGACAAATACAATATGCTAACATTAGACACACTTTGAAATAATGAGATATTTATGCAGCAAATACAGTTCCATCGTTTAAGATCTTAAAACTCAGTAACACCAAATTTTCTATGTGCAAGGGGATGTAGTTGGTAGCCTGTTGATAAGCAGTGGTAGTTCCAAGATATTTGCTTACTGGGGTTCCAACAGCTCCCAGTGGAGTCCAAAACTTGGGGCTGCTTAGCTCATGGTCCTGTATTCAAACCATGGGAAATAGGTTAAGAGGTGGATTTTGGCTTAGGATGGTAAAAAATTGGAACAATACAGTATTAACAAATGCATTCACACTATAGTAAGTTTCAGCAACTCAGTGTATTTAGTCTTAAGTGGCATTCAGTAGCAGGGGTTTGTGCTTGTTCAAAGTAGAGGGAATTGTTCCTGCTTGCACCACCAACTGGTGATAAAGTCTAAACTAGAACCCCATCAATTTTGTATATTTATCAGTTTATTTGTTGAATGAAACAAAGCTGGTACACTCAGTACATGCTGATAAAAGAAGTTTTTATATTTTGCTAAACTTAAAAAAAAAAAAAAAAAAAAAATATTAAATCAGTGTCCTAACAAATGCATGCTATTCCTAAATATATTGATTTAAACATTCACAGATTTTCAATGGTCAAGTCAGATTAAAGAGCTTATGAGTTCTACATTCAAGGTTGATAGCTTACGCCCTCTACAGTTGGAGACGATGAATGTTACATTGTCCAAAGAAGACTGTTTCCTGATCATGCCCACAGGGGGAGGGAAGAGCCTTTGTTTTCAGCTTCCAGCATTAATTTCTTCTGGTAAGAAAACTGTTGTAATAAATTATAACTATTTCCCGCAAGAAATATTTAAAAAAAGACTTCAATTTTAGCTTAATATGAATGATAGTATACATTTTTTGTAGGTATAACCCTTGTTATATCACCATTGGTTTCTCTGATGGAGGACCAAGTGATGGCCCTTCAAACCTTAGAGGTTCCAGTTGCTTGCCTTACTGCATCCAGCTCCAAAGAAGAAACCAAGTGGGTCCACAGCCAGATGTCATGTGGAAGACCTGACATCAAATTGCTGTACGTTACACCAGAAAAGCTGGCCAAGAGTAAACGATTCATGGCAGCTTTGGAAAAGCTGCACAAGGCAAGATGTCTAGCAAGGATTGCAATTGATGAAGTTCATTGCTGTAGTGTTTGGGGGCATGATTTTAGACCAGGTAAGCAAACTAAATTTCTATTTTTATCTATCAAGATAAATATGGAGTTTTCTTCTATCATTTACATAAGGAGGGTATTTATTCACCGCTGTTTGTGTTAGCTGTTTTATGGAAAAACTAATAATTCATGGATCATCATAATATTTATTTGAGTGGCACATTGGTCTTTGGAACTGATTTTACTTGATCAAGATCAGGTAAAACTTGGTTTCTATACAATCGCTACACGCTATCGCTTTTGGTGATACTGATTGTTCGGTCGAATCGAGGAGCTTCGAGGGACTGCTACGCAGTACAACGATTGCACTGAAAACACTGTTATGACAGTGAATAGAGATTGTATGGAAACCAAGCTTAACAGAAATTTGAAAAATAACAATAAGGATTGTGACATAGGGCGAAAGTTAATTGCTTCAATAGCATACCCTTTTTCTATTTTGAGAATTTGTTCTTTTAACCCACTATGACAGGAAAAGAAACAAATATGGAGTAGAAACAATACAATTATTTTTAAAATCTTGATTGAGCAAGCCTGCCCTTCTCTAGAATTAGACTTGCCTCATTTTTTTATGTCAGGAAACACCCCTACCTACTGTATCTTTCACTGCCAATATTTTGCTTCCAATGTAGGCTTTTCTGATCTTTTATCGTGACAGTATTTTAACTACTGTCCACACTATTCTGATGTCGTTTATTCTTTCTAATACAGTATCACCATATTACTGTAATTATTAATTTGTCACATTTTATGGCAGATTATAAATTTCTTGGTATATTGAGGCGGCAGTTTCCCGGAGTGCCAATACTAGGATTGACTGCAACTGCTACACCAGAAGTTCTGAATGATGTCAAGAAAATCCTTCAGGTGGACAAGGCCAAAACTTTCAAGTCTACCTTCAACAGACCGAACCTATTTTATGAGGTACAGTAGTTAAAATTATGTTTGTGCTTGACTAAAAGTAAAACATTACTATACAATTTATTTGACTTCTTATTTATACCTGAAACTTCTTATTAGGCCATATTAATTTAATTGTTTGTTTTAAAGCTTCCGCTCTCATTAGTAAATTCATGCTCGTTGTTTTTGCCCAACAAAATTTAAAAAAAATTAAAAAAAAATGTTTTTCTTCTAAAACAATACAGTATATATCTCCACAAATTGTACCCCCTTCAATAGCCTACAACATGTTGTGTAGACACACTGTAATTCTTAAGTGAAGTGAGCCCTGTAACAGACATTCTAAACCCAGTTCAACAATAAAAATATTTTTATTAAAACATATTTAAAAAAAAAAACCTGCATTAGGTTTTTGGAAACAGGAAAACTTTGAGAAAATTAAATTAATATACCAGTGTGTATTTATAGATTGAGACCAAAATACATTATGTAAAAGTTTATATTCAAGAATTTTACTCAACTATGTATTTTTGTGTAATAACATGTAGGCTAGTTTAATCCTAAGGGGTGTGAAAATTCAGAATGTAGAACTGGGGTGGGGGTGCAAACAAATCTGTATTCCAATGAGAAGTTAATAGTCATTTTTAGTATTTTAACTCAATTAGTGGAACTGATTTCCTGTCATGGGGGTGGGGGTATTAATATTGTTAATGTTAATATTCAATCAATCAAAACATGGATTTCTATATAGCATCAATTCTCTAGGCAGAATGCAATATTTAGTGGTGCTATGACATTGGACAATAAACTGATGTTATCTTTAATATATTGAAGCTAGTTGTGTATATGGCACCAACAGTTTAACATCCTGAAATGAAACAAAAGTTAATTTAAGTAATCTCTTTACTTACAAGTGTGAAGTTTGCATTTGGAAGCCTTTGAAACCTTACTCCCTTTACTGCTGCATTACATTCTTACATTTATCTTATCTTTACTTTAATACTTGTAGTAGAATTCTATATCCAAAAAAATATCCAAAACATTCGCTGTACAGTAGGTTTGTTTTGGTTTGTTTTTTTTTCTATTATGTGTTTTACACTCAATTCCAGGTGCAGCAAAAATCTTCAAATAAAGCCACATGCATCCAAGATATAGTATGCTTAATCCAGACACAGTTCAAAGGTCAATCAGGTAGAAATACAATTTTTTTTTACAGATGTTAAAAACCCTATGTATGTTGTATCTATTTTGATCTCTGTATTTTTGAAAAAGTTTCATATTTTAAATAATTTACAATTTTAATTGACCTTTCATTTTTTTAAGGAATTATTTACTGTTTTTCTCGTCTGGAATCTGAAAAGGTAGCTGAGGGTTTATCTAAAGCGGGTGTAAGAGCATGTGCTTATCATGCCCAACAAGAGGCACAGACGAGGACTGATGTTCATCAACGATGGAAACAAGACAGGATACAGGTGAGAGAAATTGACCACTAAACCAATCAGATTGCACATAGTAAATAGATGTTCATGTTTCTATGAAGACAAAGTGAGGTAAATGAGTAATTCTCTGTGAGATATCAATTTGTATTTTTTAGGAGTTGAATTGGAAGAGTTATAAGTGTAATTACTTAATATTTTGTAATAGGTTGTAGTTGCCACCACTGCCTTTGGAATGGGAATCGATAAACCAGATGTAAGGTTTGTTATACACCATTCCATGAGCAAGTCCATGGAAAACTACTACCAAGAAAGTGGACGAGCAGGTACAATATTTTCATTATTTTAAATCAAGATTATCTAATATAGAACTGTGATATTTTAAAATATTATTTGTTTATCTTAATTGTCTTTTATTTTTTTATTATTATTTAAAGGACGTGATGGACAACCTGCAGCTTGTATACTTATGTACTCATTTTCTGATATATTCCGTCAGAGCGCTATGGTTTTCACTGAGCAAACAGGCCTAGAAAAACTCTTCCAGATGGTCACATATTGCCTAGGTGCTTCCAAGTGAGTACTCATATAAGAAAATCTACTCTAATTAGAACCATGCTGTTACTATCCCATTTACCAGCAAACCCTTTAAAAGGGCATTCAGACGGGTTGGTGAACCAGGTTTCGCCAGAATCTTATCTCAATAATCCAATTAAACATCAAAGAAGAATACCTCTACTTAAGAGTCATTATCACAGCAGGCATTGCTGTTTCTCAATAAATTACCAGTATAGTATTTAAAAACCAGGCTGGAAAATTTTAAAAACCTTTTGTTCAAAAATATTTGGCATTTTTATTACCTTAGCTATAATTTCAGATAAAAATCATAATAGATATGCTTTTGAATTTTAAAAATCAATNNNTATGTTAGAAGTTACAACATGGTTTTTGATTTAATTGTGCTAGTCTTCTTATGAACTATTCACAACTAATGAGCTTCACTATTAATCTTGTTACAAAATTCCCTGAAGCAGTAATTAATAGAGATAAGAGATCTGGTTCAAAAATTAAAAATTTGGTAAATGGTGAAGTTTCCTCATGATAGAAACAAAAATGAAAAAAAAGGTGATTTCTAGGTTTGTGTCTCTTTGTGGTGTCACTGACAAATTGTAGTTTATATTGTAGCTAATGTGATATTCTTTCATTTAATTATAAACCAGGCAGGGTTCCCCAATAGAGTTGTTGTGACCCTGAACCTGTGCAGATCCCACCACTTTGCCTGTGAGGCTTATTTTCAAAAACATATACCAGTACTTTAATTTTAAATAATATACAATTTCATTGTACAGTACCAAATATGTGTTTTCCTTTTATAGATGTCGAAGAAAGTTAATTGCAAGATATTTTGCTGAGACTTGGGATAGCAGTGAATGCAATTCTAAATGTGATGTCTGTGCTAACAAAACTCAAGGTAGGTAATACAGTAAAGCAATATTGTCTAAGCTTGTCAATTTCAATATTATATATACAGTACTGTAATGATTTTTTTGGTGATTTCAGTGTCTATCGAGCAAAATGTTACAGATAACTGTCTTGAGATATTCAGCATTATTCATAAAGCTAGCTTGAAAGATTCACAAGTTACAGCACTTAAATTATTGGACAGCTGGTCTGGAAACAAGTCAAAAGGTAATCTAGTTCAGAACACACAAATTTCTACTTTTAGACTAGTACAGTAATGATGTTCTTAAAACAATATTTTTGTCTGTTTTCATATACCGTATTTATGTGTTGAGAATGATGTCGCTTCCATTAACGTTTTTTAGTTTTTTTGAAAGGGGTTGTTCTGTTTTCATATACCGTATTTATGTGTTGAGAATGATGTCGCTTCCATTAACGTTTTTTATTTTTTTTGAAAGGGGTTGTTAATTTTTTTGAAAGTGGGGGGGGGGGGCGGCATGGCGTTTATTTGAGGGTATTTATTCAAAGCGGGGTGGTTTTTTTCAAATGTATTTTCCTTTTGAAATGTTGGAACTACATAAATTTAGCAATAGAAACAACTTAAATTCTAAGTTTCTGCTAGTATGATTGTTTTAACATAAGTGTATAGATATAAATGTTTAAACTCATTATTTGAATTCATGCTTACATGGTATGTTTATGTGAAAAATATAATTAGTAATACAATTGTGCTGTGCATTGATATATTGAACATGCACAGAAACATACTCATGTAATTAATTCATAGTTCTTATAATTATTTTTTCCCTATCTCTTGTGTATGTATGATATTATTATGGTTATTTGTGATATATTGAGCATTACCTGATCCTTTTATTTATATTTTAATATTTTAGGTTCTTGTTTATCCCAGAATCAACGTGAGCAAATCATAGCCCATCTTATTCTGCGCAACTATCTGGAGTTAAAGTTCCACTTCACACCTTACAACACAATATGCTATATTCAACCAGGCCCGAGAGCATCACATGTTAGTAGCGGGGGACCAGCGATAAAAATGACACTCCTAGGTGAGGGAAGCTCTAAGGGTAAAAAGGATAGGAAGGGGTCAAAGAATGTAGGCCCCAAGGATGTTGCGCTGGAAAATGATAGGAAAAAAGTTGTAAGCAAGACAAGCTCATCAAGTGTGATCGAGACCATTGAAGTTTCAAGTGATGAGGATGATTTTGAGGTGGTACCACTCACAAATCACTTAAAAAGTAAACGAGATTCGCAAGTACAAAATAAGCGTCAAAAATTAGAATTATAGGTCTTAGAAGATACATAATGGTATCCGTTGAGCTCGACTAGTCTCTGATATCATCAATACAAATTGAAATACATTGTAAGACTACTATAATTAAAATAAGATCTGCAGGGTTAATGATTTTTTAGGGCCTCAAGAGCAGTGCTTGGTTATAAATATTCCACAATTGGTAAATATAATACTGTACTAGCTTTTGAGTGTAGTACACCAAATTAGTCACCAACGCTGTTGGGTATTCTAACCAAAACTTTAAAAAAATATGTATAGTGTTCAAGAGTGATTCAGGAAAACAAGCTGTAGTAAAACTCAAATCCCTTTATAAATGTGTACATCTTAACATCAAAAATGATGACGGGCAGTGTATGTACAGCTAAGGCTATTGTACACAATGTTACAGAGTACAAAGTATCTTACACACTGATTTATTGTTTCAACAGTTTGAAACTACTGTGCTGTAGAATATGCATTTTGTTGTTTGTAATCCTGCCCAACAAGCTAAATTTGCTGACTAATTGGGTGTATTATTTATAAAAGATAAACATTAACGCTGAATCTATTCCTGTAAGTTAAACATATGTTTTTCATCAATTTGTGTCACCTGTATTAATAAATGCTTCTGAAGTATAAAACTTGAGAACTGTGGATGTTGTCTTTGAATTTATCGAATACAGTATATTTAATATCACTTACATTTGTTAAAATTAAAGGCTACACAAAAGTTTTTTTTTTTGTAAAAATGTATTCGTACTTTATAGAGTATATACTAGGTAATAACTACTGTATAATTATGGATAACATATTCTGAATACAGTAGTGAATACAAAAATAATTATCAGTCAGTGAGTTGTATCTCACTCATCTCAGTTTTAAATAATTTCATCAAAGATCCAGGATGATAGTGGGGGCAGGATATTCTCCAGAACCTCCGGAGTTTTAGCATATACCCTTTTGCCACCCCTGGACCCTGTATGAAGACAAATACTCCTACCAATCTTCGAACACTTCAATATCAATACTAAGATTAAATTGATTATTTTTATTTGCAAAACCAATAATATTCTCCTCCCCTTTGTCAAATTTATTTTTAACCAAATCTTTATTTCTGGAATCCGATTTCACACGTCCTCAGATTTAATGTTAATGTGCAGCTGGTCTCGCCTTTTTAAATAATCTCCATTGTCACAGTCATCTTCATCATCTGTGCTTTCATCCTCGTTGACTTCTAAAAACTTTGACCATTTGCTAGTGCTGGACTTGTTAACTAAATCATGTTTCTTTGAGTTCTTGTTTAGTATTTGTTTGCAACTGGGATTCTGAAACCACGCTGGATTGCTATTCATAAAATGGCTTGTGGTCATGGTGTGTTGCCTATCATCACTAATAGTAGACAAATTTGCAGAATAAGTTTGCTTTATTTGGTTTGATGTTAAAACATATCCTGATTTAACATGAGCATTCCCAAAAGAATTCTGTTGTTCTGGCTTACTCAAAGTACATTTTCTTGAATAATTTTTAGTAACTGGTTGTTGTTTTGCATTCTTATTAATTATGTAAGGCTGAAAGAAATAAAAAACATAAGTACAGTTAATAAAAATAAGATAAATAATTCACTACAACATTGAATTGTTATTATAAACTTCAAAAGGAAAATGTTCTTAGAAAAAAACACACCTTGGATTCGTAATTTCTTTTCCTCTTTCCAGCTTTCCATTCCTGTCGTCTCAATTTTCTCAACTCTCTTTCTTCTCTCAACATAACATCCCTATCGGTCGTAAACATCATGTCTTCTTTCTCATCCCTACTGCCAACATCAAGTTCAGTGCTGTCATTTTTTTCATCTAAAAATTGATTCCACTTAGAGGATGCAGACTCAAATGTGGCTGTTTGAATAAGCTTTGTCTCCTCTTCTATCAGGGTAAACTCATTTTCATCTTGGGCAATTCCAGCAATGGTATCACATGGTTTTTGAGTATTTACCTTTTGCATGTTCAAACTCTGGACAAGCTTGCGACAGTCCACGCCTGATCCACTGCCATACTCCTAAACATTTATAAAAAGAAAACTTATTTTATTGATCAATGAAATTTTTAAAATTTTTTTTATATATTTTATTCAACCTACAATCAACAGAATCAACCTGTCATTATGACAGGTTGAAAAAATAAAACACAGTTACAACATACATTACTACTGTTCGTTATAAACTAATGTCTGCAAGGCAAGGAAGTTAAATTATAATCTAAAAAAAAATATCAATTTCATCAAATAACTTTAGAATTCAATTGTAATACTGTAGAGTATTTAAACATTTGAACACAAAAACATGGAACATTCATAGACTATGGCTAGAATAAAAAAGTAGGAATAACATTAACTCCCCTAACATATAATTATTTCCATGTTTTGAAATTTCTGCAGATATTCTCCTGAAGACGATTGAAGCAACTCCATTGAAACGTTGAGACACGCAACCAACAACAGTTCTTTTCAGAGCAATAATATATAGGCCCATAACATTAATTTTTATAAACCTAATTGTTGCATGCAGTAATCTATCTATTTAGTCAACTTTATTTATACACAATTCAACACAGATGGTTGTTTTACAGATGACTGACTTGATTGAGTTTCTTAAAGAATCCTTCATGTAGTCACTACAATTCACTGATACCTTTTTAAGTGATTGTTTGGCACCACACATTTTGCATACCCACTTAAAAACCTTCTTCACCTGCTGTACTTGAAATGTTTGGCAGTCATAGCAACGGATTACATGGAAAACTTGGGGCATGGTCTTGTTTATCAAGCTAGAAACAAAATATTCATATTATTCGTTATTAGAAGTCGTCCTCTCACTAACCAGCTACTGTGGTCCTATCATCAAGCAACAAGCCACCCACACCCGCCCTAGGCTAGACCTAGACAGATCAGGTCACTACACAACTCTCTGAACTCATACGTCTACCTAGCGTAGGGCTGGCTATGGCCTACTCATAAATAATAAACTAGGCCTAGGCCTAAAGAAAGGTTAAGCTAGGCCTAGTTAGGGCCTAGGCTACTACTACTTACTAGGCTAGCTAGGCCTAGATGAGCAGGCCTGGGCCTAGCCTAGGTGTATGGTTCATACGTGAATATATTATTTACTCTAGAAACAGAAGCTAAGTTGTATATATATTATTATATAGACTACGTGTTTAAATATCCTGAAGAAACCCTTTTAAAACAAGTAATTTTGATCGGAAACCACTCAGAAATTACACTAACGACTGCCGAATTCAGATTTTCGCGGACATTATTTTAGGTTGCCAGAGAATGTATCATTTCCAGCCCATAAAATCAGGGCACATTAATTACAGTGTACAATACTATACCTTGATATAATAACTCCTATTAATTTACTGCAATATTAAAACATTATAATCATCATCATAATCGATTTTGATTAATTTGGGTTATTATATTACGTGAATTCTGTGAAATATATTTTTTATTGCGATCAGAGTGTGCGCCCATACACACCCATCCACCACCACACACAGATTAGCTCAATCGTTGGTGGCGCTGTCTAGAATGAGAAAAAAAAAACAAAGTACTGTACCAGCAAAGAGCAAGAGCCTAGGAATGGAGAAGAAAGTCCGTAGGTTGTGTTGAAAGTTTTAGAAACTATGAAGAATGATCGTAGTAAAAATCGAAAATGTGCAAAAGTAATAGCGTGGTCATGTCTACCATTAACCATTTTAGCAGGGGCTGCATACGCTGTATACTATAAGTTTAGAGTTGTGAAGGTAAGTCATCACTAGGCCTAGGCCTAGGGCTATCCGGCGCTAATATAATGCACTTTTGCCTAGGAGAAGAGGCCTACCTCTGTATCTTTTTTGGGTGCTGTAGACCGTTGATTTTCGTTCATCGGTTTTTTGCATTGCAGTCCTCATTCTAGTTGGCCTAGGCCTAGCTTTTTAATCTTGTGTTCATGCCAGAGATGCCAAGTTTGTCAATTAGCTGCAGGGGTCCCAAGTTGGAAAAGTCATTATTCAGAGAAGGGACTTTCGTAGGCCTAGGCTAGATGGATCAGGGAGATGTAAAAGGCCTAGACCACATCAGCCCACCAATGAAGCTGAGATGTGAAAAAGTGCCATTGCAGCGACTCTGGATGGCCGGATATCACCTCCCACACTTAAAATTTGAAATAATTTAATTTCTGTCCTATTTTTTCATAATTTTGAAATATTGTGCCCGAGCCGGCTTCCCCCTCCCTTGTATCCGCAACTGGTCTGTTTAATAATGAGCTTTTTTAACACGTTTAATTTTATTTTGCAGCACAGTACATAACGATACCCATTGGCACTGACTTCTGTGAGAAAACTAATAATAAAGCAGTGAAAACATGCAAAATTATGAAAATGGGTTAATTTTCGGGAGATTCTTGCTTGCTTGAGGGAGTAAGGGTCGCTGTACCAATTTCCGGGAGGCTCTCGTGAGTTCCGAAAGACTTGGGACCCCTGTAACTGGGAGTGAGAACAATCGAACAATTGAGGGAGCAAAGCGACCGACCTAAGGGCGGGGGGTGTGGGTGTGGGAGGAGTGGATCCCCCTCCCACGATAGAAAAAAAATTTTTGGGTTTTAAAAATTGCGATTTGGTGCATACCTATAATGCAATTGTACTTGCAGAATTCTTATATAGAGTAATACGAACTCCAAGAAATGAGATACAGTACATGACATTGTTTTTCGATTCAATATTTTGACATTTATTATTTCATCTTCAGGAATAAATAAATGGTAAAGAGTTAACCTTACTCAACTGTGAAGTTGATGAGTGGGCTTTGTTATAAGTCCAGGTGGCCTTTTTTTGGTGCATACCTATAATGCAATTGTACTTGCAGAATTCTTATATAGAGTAATACGAACTCCAAGAAATGAGATACAGTACATGACATTGTTTTTTGATTCAATATTTTGACATTTATTATTTCATCTTCAGGAATAAATAAATTGCTAAGCAATGGCAAAGAGTTAACCTTACTCCTGTGTAGTTGATGAGTGGGCTTTGTTATAAGTCCAGGTGGCTTTTTTTGCAGATTTTAATACATTTTAGGCCCCTCCTGTGCCAATTTACTTGAATACTTGACAAGTTTTCCCTTGGATCTAAATGTGGCGAAAGGCAGTTTTATTTTTCCAAACCATTGAAAAGATTTGCTCGTCTTGGGCATTAGAATGAGGTATTACATATACCAGGCTTGCCACTTTACAAATCCTGATCACCGATTTTCTAATGAGGTAGCTCCCTGTGTTTTTGTTTATTTTTTTTTTTTTGGTTTTTTTTTTTTTTTGGCCCCATCGACGACAGGCGTGAGCAAATGATTGGAGCTGAGGCGTAATTCTTGGTAGGTCTGTCATGCTGAGTTAAGCCAAATAAATTCATCGGTCTTCTATATATGAGTACTAGTACTGGGACATAGTATATTAGGAGCTATTAAGAGCCCCGACCTTGCTTGAAAATTTTTTCTTTTCTGTGTTTTCTTTTCTCTCTGTTTTTTTTTTTTTGTTTTTTTTTTAAATGTATAATACTTTTTTTAAATGTATAATACTTAGGCCTAGTCAATACACCCTGTGCTTATGCATATCTTTAAGTTTAGGTTCCCTGGTGCAGGCTCTGTTTAGTAACTTTTAACACCGAGAGCCACAAGCATACTTATGATGAAAATTTGATTTATTTTAATATGCTTGCAAAAACATACACATAAACCTATAATACTTCTTTACTTTTTACAGATGTTCAGCACCCCTTAACAAGGGGTTTTCTAACCAGAAATGGTAGGCGGGCTGCACATAATATACGGTTATAGTTTATGTTTGGTGGCTGTAACAAAATATTGTCGGGTTCGTATGTGTCCCGCAGTCTGCACTTTGCCCACCTGTGCTTTATGTTTTTATTATGTTAATGGCAGCCTAGGCTGTAGACCTCAATATTTAGATGTTGTATCATAACTGGATCAAATCATTATTACATTTCAGAAACCAGGAATTTACACCAGCCCACAATTTCAACAATTCTTACTGTCTCACTGCTCAAGTTTAAACAAAGAGTACCGGCCAACTGCATGGTGTGTTGGAGGTCGCCTACAAACTATAGCCAGGGTTCTCTTCCAATCTAGGCCACAACAGCCATACAGAGTGTATGTGTTTTTATTACTGGTTTTGCCGGATTCTTTGAACCATGATGATATTGAAGGTGTATTGTTACACTATGTTATCTACACAAATTACATTTGTTTTTCATCATTTTCAGGAGTAAAAAAAAAAAAATACAGTATTTGCTGTGACTTCGCTTCCTACCCTATTGATATGATAATCATTATTTTTTCATTAAAGAGTACAGAGTGTTAATCCATATGCCCCATATATTTTGTACTTAAAAAATGAAGGGTCCCTTTATTTCCATGTTCATCTTCCAACTGAATTAAAAAACATGATGAGGGAGGGAGGTTTTCTTGGTTTATAGTATTAATAGTAAGTGTTTATAACATTGACATATTTTTTAGCCGTTTGTGTATTTTTGCAGTGAATTGATCCCAACGCCAGATGGTGGCGAACTCAGCCTGCATTGGGTTGACAATCAAACACGAGGCAATAAATACAAAGCGGAGTCCAGACCTACTGTGATCATTCTTCCTGGCCTAACAGGTATTTGTCTATATTTAATACAAAAATATAACATTAATGATAATGATTAGCATCAGTGGCATGTTTAAGAGTCTTGAAGTTGGTCACTATGTCCTGTAATTTTTAGCATGTCTGTTTACATTTTTTTTCTCATCACTAGGCTACAGTCGATGCGGGTATGTCTTGCATATGGTTGATTCTGTGGTAAAGCTTGGTTACAGGGCTGTTGTCTTTCATAATAGAGGCCTGGGAGGTGCACAATTGAAGGTAAATGTATAGTATCATCAATGTTGTATGTGATGAACTTATAAAGTAATTATTATCATGCTATTTTGGTCACTGATTGGAAAATACAACCCTAAGTCACTATTGCCTTCAAATTTCTTTCCCTCCCCACCCCAGGAAATAATGTCTTCCTTGGCTTCAGTAGTGTCCTCAGAACTTGGCTCTAATTACGTATTATTCTGGCACTTTTTGATGGTGTCAATAGAAATGTATCATAATATTTAATTGTGGTTTTATTTTTGCTATCGTTTTTTTTTTTTAGACTCCTCAGACCTTTTCTGCGGCATACACTGATGACTTCAACATAGCTGTGAAACATATCAAACAATATCTACCTAGAGCACCCCTCATGGCTGCTGGAACATCTCTAGGAGGGTTAGTATGTAATTTCGAATAAGTACTTTGCTTCTGTTAATGGATAAGGATATTAATAAGACAAGTTGAAGACCTGGTGGCAGATTGCATGTACCACAAATAGTACACAGGTTTATGTGTGGTTATGTGGAGATCTTAGCAACAGTACCTAAGAGGCATGAATTAAGCAGGAAGGTCTACTTAGAGCCTAGGCTGTAGAAAGAGAAGCTAAAATTCCTGCCTAGGGCCTATTCCATTTAACTAGAAAATAAATAACTGAAAATGACTATACATTTTTTTTGCCAGGATGATCCTGTTTAATTACTTAGCAAAGCATGGAGACCAAACTCAACTGAATGCTGCTTTCACTGTCTCTACCCCCTGGAATGTGTTTGAATCCACAAAGAACATTGAACGGCCAATCAATCGCTGGCTCCTGAACTCGCATTTAGCACGCAATTTACGGAAAGGTGTCAAAGAGTATGTCTTTATTATTTTTTTCAATTACTTGGTGTTAATAAATAATGATTAATTTAACATCATATCTACATTTGAGGTTTATTTAACTCTAGAAGCAATATCATATTGTAAGAATAGATACTGAAATGAACATGATAACCTGAGAGATAAACAGATGTATTTAAAACAATACTGGTAAACTGCTTTGGAATAACTTTTATTGTAGCATATTTTAATGAATTGCACTTTGTCTTTGTGTTTTATTTTTCCAGTCATATAACAATGTTTGAGAAACACTATGATCCAGAAATTTCACAAGCTTTAAAGGTAATTGTTGATTTCATTCATATATTCAATCAAATTTCCTTTCTACTACCAGAACTTTCTAAAATAATAATCACTGCACATACAGTAAGTTGACTCCATAATCCTGACCGATCCAAAATTTTGATTTACCACAGAGCCCCTAATTTTTGTTTTGGTTTCAAAAGCCCTTGTCAAGCTTCAAAAAAAGTTTTATTCTTAACTTGGAGTATAGCCCTGTGTTAACCATTGGGGAGCTTTCGATTGCAAGACGCGGTAGGACGTAGAACTAATGACGTCACTAAGAAGTCATATGCGCATGCGAAAACAGTGAGTTCTCGTCGTGTAGATTCTACGATGCAATTTCGCTGAATCAGTGTTTTACAGAGAATGTAGGACGGTCACGCATGAGTGAATCTGTTCTAGCATTGGGTCATCCTGCATATCGAAAGCTTCCTTTTATTGCACTGGAAAAGTTATGTTTGACACTTAACTCTAGAAAATTTCCAACTGACTGACCCTGATTTCCAAAGTCAGTGTGCCTGGGCATGAAAACAGTTATGTTGGCTTATGATGCTGGCATCATAAGCCATACCTTTGGTATGTGTAAGTAAAGGATGATTGATCTTTAAATTATGTAGGCTAATACCATACGAGAATTTGATAGCAAGTTCACAACGAAGGTGTTTGGCTATGAGGACGTAAACCAGTACTATGAGGATGCATGCTTACATACTAAGGTGCAGGATGTTAAGATCCCCACTGTATGCCTAAATGCAGGGGATGACCCTATCTCACCAATGCATGGTATGTACAGTATTATATATGTCAGAATTAAGTTAACCATTAATTTATAAATACAGGTCTCCCTCTAATTAAAACCACGTCCATTAAAGTCCACTTTTCTGTGGTCCCATATTAACAAAGATCTTTTATCTTTATTATTCTAATTAGAGACCAAAGCTACTAAAGACCACCCAATGGTTGTCTTTAATTGGAGGGAGACCTGTGTGGTACTTTGAATTTTAGATTGGTGTTTATGTAAAGTATTATGGCTGTAGTTTACCTATAACTTTTAAGTTACAACTGTATGTCTCATGTGTGACTTGATGATAAAAACAATATTGATGTTATAAACTACAGTAATAAATACAATAATAAAACAAACTATTAATATAACAAACACCATTGTTCAGGGCTGTAACCAAGGCCCCCCCACCCTTTTTAACCCATTCACTACTCTAGTGGTATTTTATCATAACTTTGTTTATTAAAGAAACACTTCTGATTTGAACGTGGCCTATAGGAAACCCCCCTTCCCATGAACTTGGTTATGGACCTACTGTTATGATGTAAAATTAATGACTTATTTTAGAATCATAGTAGCATATTGTTATACTTGTTTTTTTTTGTGAAAATCATGATGAGTTTTATTTTATATTTCAGTAATTATATGCATTTTACCAATTAATAAGTTTTTGTAAACAATTTTTCAGCTCTTCCAATTAACAGTACTATTAAACAAGAGAATGTCGCTCTGGTGGTTACACACTACGGTGGTCATCTCGGATTCCTGAACAGCTTCTGGCCCCGAGGTAAAACGCTGTGGCACACAATATTTTCTGAGGTTGTTGACGCCTTTTTCAAAGTTGAGTTGCGGAGGGAGCGGTGACAGTTCCAATCCCAGTCATTCCTATTTATTTTTAAAAATCTTCATTTTTTCAGAAATACAAATTAAAAAAAATTAAACTACTAAGACAATCTTCTTAATGAAATATGTGCTTAATTAATTTTACAATGCTTACAATATTTGAATTTAAAAGAGGAAAAACCAACATGTTTTGGTTTTGTGTCGTATCGCTATGTTTTGCCAGCAACAGTTGCAATACAGTGGGTGCTGAACTGAAGTTGCTATTGTTCATTTTACAGTATTAATTTAAGTTAGAATTTCATTAGCCTGTACCTTGTGTGGCAGAATGCCTTGTTGTATGTCATGACATTAATTTGTCTGCATAAATCTGGAATTTGTTTTAAACAGAAATATAATAAAGTAAACATAATAAATAATTTTACATGAATGTTAGTGAAGATTTATCTAGGTGGTGAAGATGCTGTTTGCATTCTAAACCCAGGTTCTTTATCCTGTAAATTCCAGTGTGTTTTGGCCAAGATATCTAATCCCTAATGTCAAGCATACAGTACATTCTAAATCTTTGTCCACACTATCAGATTTTATGTGACAAATTTGTGTTATGTGCCCATATATGGGCATGATAGTGTCATCCTAGCCTGGGGTTACTCACTCTTTTTTGCACTTAGTGAACGCCATACCTAATTTAATTGGCGTCCCATACTCGATTTCTTTTTTTTTTTTTCGGATTACAGTACTGTATTGCATATTCCGTCTCTAAATTAACTTTCTCGCTGGTGGCGCTGTCCAGAATGAATGAAATAATAAAAAATAAGAGACTTGTGGCAAGTCTAGTGTCACCCAAGAATGGGCATGTCAGTTATTTGTCACAACAAATTTGATAGTGTGGATGATGCTGTAGATGTTGATCTCTATGTCTGGTCTCATCAATTGTTATGTTCAGAAGTACAGTAGTACCCTTGTTAGTGCATGTGAAGACAATCTTTGTACCTGTACGGTATTAAGCTAGAACAGTGTACTGTACTACATGCTGATATCAAGTATAGGAGATGTAGATGCATTTACTTCAGAACTTCAAGTAAATGTGATTTTGATTATGACCTCCTTTCCAAACCAAAAATAATTTCCCACAAAAGTTGTTTGTGATGTGTAAATTGTTACCATATGGCAGTGGCATACTTCATAAGTCTGATTAATCTATTCTAAGTACTGTATATAGATTTCATTGTTCACACAGACTGTAATTTGCCCATAAATGGGTATGATGATGTCATACCACACTGTTGGGCAAATCACAGGTGTTGGTAACTTGATGATTTGGACATTGCCTTTGATACAACTTATAAGACCATAGTTTAGATATCCATAATCAGCTATCATGTGAATGGACTCATAGGCATGTTTCCATGAATAGAATGTGTACTCAGATTGAATGCCAATAATAGAGTAATAAATTTATATCGACAACTGATATACAAATAGCCTGTCATTTTAATTAATTCTTTGTGTTATTCATATTCAGATATTTCACATTATAAATACAGTACAGTAGTATCATCTTTCATAAACAAATGTTTCACAAATACACACAAAGAATAATTTGTTTTTATTTTACACTGTAAAAGTCCCAATTGATCGGCTGTAAGGGTTGTCAGAGGGCAAGTGGCAATTGGGAACCTGGTACTAGAGGGAGGGTTGTGTGTTCCTTTACCTATTGAGTCTCTGGAAGCTCCCAAGTCATTTAAAATGATCGGCTGTAAGGGTTGTCAGAGGGCGAGTGGCAATTGGGAACCTGGTACTAGAGGGAGGCTTGTGTGTTCCTTTACCTATTGAGTCTCTGGAAGCTCCCAAGTCATTTAAATCTTTTACCTAAATTGATTGCACAATTTTTTGGCTGCTGTCAAAGGCAAGCACCCATTTTGCCACACCTGGATCTGCCAATAGTACTGCAATGCACAGTAGAGTATGTAAGAAATTCTAACACTATAGGCCACAATAAAATAATAATTAATTACACAAGGTTTACTTGTACAATGCAGTACATGAATTTGAATTATTTGTTCACTAAAATTGTACATTCACAATGTTTTCCAACTCCAAGGTTTCATTATACGTTTGTGGTAATTAAATTCTTCCAGTTTTTCAATGCTACACCTGTACTTCCAGGTTTCTGTGACCTTTCCACGTCTCCTCCAGATTATGGGTCTCTTTCAGGTTTTCCATGACCACTGTTTAACTATCTTTGCCCATTTGAAATTGATAAGAAATTATATCTGTACATCTCAAAAGTGCTTCCGTTTGGACACCAAGAGGAGTCTTCAATTCAGATACATGGAAATTTAGAATGTCCTTATCAGAACATTTGAAAATACCGGAAACAGATGTCTTTCCATAAAGTGAGAATTCAATATCTTTATTATTCATTCCAACTATTACTTCAAGGAAACGTCTACGAAGAAATGATCGGGCATCTTGTTCTTTCTTCACAGTTGATTGCTCCATTTTGAGAACACATCTTGAAAAGAAAGAAAAAAAGAGAGAAGAGTGACCAACAGACAGAATGCTGGAATGGATCAATACTGGCGAAGGGGTGCGTCTCTTGGTGTGTACACAATACATCAAACCAGACAAAACAAAACCACTTAGTGCAATATTAAAACCACATAACATTACCGATCAAAATAGTTCGACAACAACATCAAGAAGCTTCAACACCAAACAAATAAATTTTTAGTACTGTACATGACAAGCAACTGTTCATCAAATTGAAGCCCATAACTTGACCCATACATGCTTTTAGGAGGTGCAACGATAATTGTACCATCATTTATGTTTGTCCAAAGTGTAGATTTAAAAAAACAGGTAATGATTTATTAGCTTGGATGGCAATTGTTGGTGGCAATAATTTCAAGCATTCTAGCACAATCTTAAATCTATAAAAATTAGGTCTAGGGCCTAGGCTGGATGATAGGTCTAGCCCTACTTGGTCAGCCCTAATAATAGTACAGTACTGTACTACTACTAGGCCTAGTTAGAATGGAGGCTTGGTTAAGGGCCTTAGTTAGGCCTAGATAGCAGCAGGAAAGGCGAGGGCCAAAATAACTTATTTCTTTAGCTAGGCCTAGCCTATGCCTAGTAAGTTACAGTAAGTATGGCCTTATTAATTAGGCCCTAGCTAGGCCTAGTAGTAAAGTAAATTGTTTTGTGCGTTCTCGGGTAAAAAGCATTTTTAATTTAAATCTTCCTACCAATGTAATGTTTTCGACAAAGACCTACACCAAGGCCTACGGTTGAATAAAAAAAGTTAAAAACCCAAAGTGAATCTTTCTTGTTCATCATCTATAGCATGGATGGCTCCAGGCTCTGCTGCGTTTCTCTTCCAGCGTTTCTCTACTGCCTGGCGCCCTCTTTGGCCTTCTCAATTTTAGATAATGTCATTATTTCAGCTGGAGCGCCCTCACGTAGATTATAAACAAAAAGTCTTTGACACAACACAGGGGAAATTCTTGAAAGAATCTGTTCACAGGAAGAATTTGTCGTTGCTCTTTGTCTTTTCTGATATAATAGATGCTTGCTTGGTTAAGAAATAATCAAAGTGAGTAAAGAACTCTTTTATAGACCAAGCGAAAAACATGGATTTGCCAGTCCACTTGTTGTTCTCAATCATGCTGATGTGATGGAGACTGAAAATAGTGTCTGTGTCTAGGCCTTGGAAGGCCTAGCCTAGCTAGGCTAGAGTGCTAGGTTTAGCCAGGCCCCTGTCTGTGACGTCTAGATGGAGGAACAATAGTGCTTTAACAAATAAGCTGGGCCTAGTAGTAGTAGTAAGCCCTATTCTATTTACTCATTGCTATCACTTTCTTTTCAAACTTTAGGCAGACCTAGACCTAGTTCCAGACTTTGATTACAAACTCAACAGGTAAAAAAATGCTCAGAAAGAACTGTGATCAAAATCAACAAAGTCAAGTGTTGAATAATTATTGTTTTTTAATTGGCAGGGGCTATATTACACCAGTCTTAAACCAATTTCTGTTTCTGATTGAATGTTATTGTATGCATGGACTGGGTTTAAACACAATAACATCCATTCAGTAATCCAATACTGGCCTACTGTATGTCAGCTCCATGCATGGTCAGTCAGCTACAACAGACATGTGTTCCAATTCCATTTCTTATGTACTTACTACTGTAACTGTCAAGAGAACTGATGTTGTTTAAAAGATACTGTAATAGACCTACTGAGGTCTACAAATCTGTAGGATCTGATTGTGCGGTGTGTTTTAATAAGATATGTATTTGTATTTATTCAGAACAAAATTATTAAAACATAAGACACGGGAGCCAAAATGCTGAATTGTGAAATATGTTTACATCAAAATTAACTACCAAGTATTTTAGAAAATTATTAAACCACAGAAAAAAAAATATAAATAAATTGCGCTATCATGACTGTAAGAAAAATACAATAATTTGAAAAATAATAAAATTACTGTGCAATTATTTTATTATTAATTTAAAAATACATTGAAAAAATTAAATTGGAGTAAAAGTAATAATTTAATAAAAACATTAAATTGCTGTACAATTGTTTTACAAAAAGAGAAACAATATTTAAATTATTACCAGTTGTATTCTATATACATTGAAAAAATTATTAAATTGCAATATAAAAAAAATCATATGCGAAGTACTGTACAATAAGTTCAATAAATAAAAAAATTTGAACATATTTAACTAGTTGAAAAAATTAGATTTTGGCAAATAGCTAGTGTTCTTGACTATAATTGATGATCCTTTTTGTAATATAAGTTAATGAATATATTATTGTTATTAACCACTTCTGTAGTAGTAGGAACTTCCTACAGCTGCAATCAGTCCTTCTTCATTTGAAGTCACTTTTATATCTTGTCACTTGCGAGCATCCTAGCTCCCCTAGTTTCTTGTCTGTTGTAAGAGTTCCCACCTTAGGCAAAAAAAAATATCTTATGTGATACAATAAACTCACCTATTTCCTATATAAGTACAAAGTAATAATAATAATAAAAAAGAAACAAGAAGATACTGTTTTTATAGTTGGTACATCCTTCACTTAAAAAGGAGTACATGGTACCAGATGACAGTGCACAGATTCTAAATATTCAGATTCAGAAAATAAATCTGTGATAGGGTATTCATTAAAAAGAGGGATTTGTTTGAAAAGTTACAAGACAAGAGAATGTTTGCTCACTTATATTGGCTGACACCTGAATACTGTAATGGTGTCATACCAGGATGGCACCTCCCTGGTCTTACTGTTAAAATACACCAGGTATTGCAGGACATACTGTATTGCTCATGCTGTAGATAAATACAGCTGCATTCAATGAAGAATATTAAAATACCGACTTGCATCTCCCGGTTATAAACAGAGTTGATTTTACAGCACTGCGATTTTTTAGTACATAAATCGACATATTGTATGATCAATTCATGTATTTTGTAGTCCTTTTCTGTTATTTGTTTTTGTAAATGAACTATATTAACATCCATCAAAGATTAATACACAAATTATGAAATTATTGCTAATCAGTTTTCAAATTTAATTGTCGCTAATCAATATTTTGAAACAAAATTGTTTGCTGTCTGTGGGCTAGTAAAATATTCTGTGGACTAGTAAAATCTCCAGTCAACTAGCCCATGGGCTAGTTACTGTACCAAAAAAAAGTTAAATCGAGCCCCGTCTGGTACTACCAAGTGAATACTTTTTAAGCTACTGTAATGTGGACTACAGCATATTAAAAAATATTACTGCTAGTAGAAATACCATTGAAATGGGTTTTTTTTTTGTGGGGGAGGGGGATTTGGTGGGTATTTGTCAGAGCCAGAGCCCTGCCATAGGGATGCTTTCTCCTGATATTGTGGAAATTAGGAGAATTGTTGAGGGACCAAAATAAATGTTCATGGATAGACATTTACCTAAATGGATTAATAATACTATTATCATGGTTTGAATGCATGACCTTTGATACAGTTCATTGATGATACTGGAGAGTACAGTAGGCTACTGACAGTAGTTGTGTGTGTCAATCTGGTCCCTGTCAGTGAGAACAGATTCATCCATGCATCACATATCAACTACCTGTATCTTGAGTCTCGCCCGGGTTCCAGGCCCTAATTTTAGGTTGCTCACTTTTTATTGAACTTAGTGCGCGCCATACCTAATTTAATTGGCGTCCCATACTCGATTTCTTTTTTTTTCGGATTATTCCGTCTCCAAATTAACTTTCTCGTTGGTGGCGCTGTCCAGAATGAGAAAAATAATAAAAAATAAGAGACCTGTGGCAAGTCTATCTTGAGTCATGTTTTTTGGTGGTACAATGGTAGACCTACAGTAAAGTGTACAGTACTTTAACAATACAGTAAACACCTTAAACCAGCGTGAAACCCTGAAATTCCCTTATGTTTGCACAGGGAGTTGTTATAGTGATAACAACTCCCTGGTTTGCAACATATTTAATTTGTCCAATTTTCGGGAAAAAACATTGAATCATAGCCCACCAAAGTGTCTTTGAAAACTTTTTAAAAATACTGTAACTTAAAAGTATTTATTTCCCTGACTACAATTCAGTATTACCAACAAGAAAAGTTTCTCAACAACATATCAGCCCAACATTATAAATTGGCAGTATTTTGGCCTTGACATGAATGACCATACAGTATGTACCTTGTATTGCAAAATAATGTAGGCAAATCTGCCCTTAAATATTTACTGGTCTCTTCTTTGCTCTACTGACTAGACAAAGGGCAATTGACTCAGTATAGTTCCTGTAATTCCTACTATATGAAATGATATCTCAGTTGCAGTATGATATGATGTTGGTACTGTATGCTAAACATGTTTGGCATTCGATATGATTATTGTATTAGCACTGATATTATTATTACTCGAGTCTTATCAATTGAAACACTGTCTATTCAGTCCTGCTTTTCAATTGGGATTATTTGAATATTGTAACTTCCCTCTCACATATTACAGTATGCATAATTTGGTTAGGGTTGAGTGCTGTCTGGAAGTCACTACGACTTGGAGCAACGTCTCTACCCCTACAAGATACTAGGTTGGTTAGCGGGGTATGCTGGTCATTTTTACCTTGGTGGAATAATGTCCCTACCCCGAAATGCAAAGTGTAATTTTTGTAATTTATCTATATTTTCTACCAAATAGTTGCTAATTATTATAATGTATTAAAAAAATATTAAAACCTTCTTGTTTTTGATTGTTGTTATTGCTGTTTTAATAATTGATAGCTTTGTTGTTACATGTACATTGACTAGATATTATTACAGTACATTTTGCAGTGTCAATTTTTTTTTCTATCATAAAGTTTGGTAAGAACATCCACTGTGTGTAAGTTGCCCTTGATAAAGTTTTATATATTAGTTTTTTTATGACTATATTGGTCTTGCTTTCCAAATTGTATAATAGTAGAAATTTTATTAGATGCTTGACATACTGAATGATATACTTTTCTTGATTTAATTTCTTACAGGCAATGACAATCACTAACGTGAACATCTGACTAGTAAAAGTGTAAACACATTTCCAACATGGCTGATAGAACCGGTTACACAGCTACCACTTTGAGTGATGTTGCTTTTGATGATGTACAGCTCTCGTTAGCTGGCATTAACTTGATGTTGAACAACGGCTTTCGAGAAGCAGAAAGTATCTTCCTCAAGTACAAGTAAGTTAAATCATTATTCTTATTTTGATTTATTTTGAAATAAATAACACAAAACCACAAGTGATTGTGATTGTCACTTACTGTATATATTAAGTTTAAAAAAAAACACATTTGATATTTACTTTGTATATTTAATATTTATTTCTTCTATTTGTATATATAATTAATCATTTTGATTCCAATTTTAATATTTAGTAAGTAAATTTTTCTGCAAATGATTTTCTTTTTCGATTTTTATTTTCAAATATCAAATTCTATTTTTGTATTTAAGGTTTTTAAAATAACTTTAATTATAAGAATAATATTAACTTTACAGTAATTCAGTATTGATATTTAATATATGAGTATATAGTTTTGTACTATGTATCTGTAAAATGCTAAGCCAAATTTTTTTTTTTTAAATTTATTTTTGTGTGTCTTTTGGAAAGTTTATATTTATACATGCATGTCTTCCAGTTTTAGTATTTTAATCATTTGTATATTAACATTGCATGGCTTTTGTGAACTCAATTTGTCCTCTGGGATAGATGTAAAATTTTTTTATACCATTACCAAGTGAATAAAAATATTAAAAAAAATATATATTTCTTATGTTTTATGGTATAGTCATTATAACCACAGAACAGTGGTGCATTTACATTGTAAATTGTGGGTGGGCCTACTATTACCTCACTACACTGTATAGCTGAGAATTTCACTTCTCAGCAGTGGCGGCTGTAGGATATATTTTCTGGGTGACTAAGCTGACAGACGGGAGGGGGAAGGCTGAATGAGATAACTTGGGTGCGCATCGCCTTCCGAGGGCCTTCTGACTGAGCTACTGTAAAAGAATCATTGTCCAGTACAATGCCTGCTATTGAAACCTTCTCAACAAAACACCAAAATCTGAGCAGTCTGCTAATTGTGAATCCATGAATGCCTTCTTTTATGCTTACTTGCTCTTTGTTATTATAAGCTATGCTTTTAATATCTTAACTGACTTGCTCATTATTTTGGTCTCTGTCACTTGTTTCTGAATACATTTCTCTTCCCTCTTTATTATTGCTTATTGTAATTGTTGTCACTTGCAATGGCATTAATTAATAATTATTATTAATATTATTCAATCTATTATTATTCTATTATTTTTTAATGTCATCCTCGTCATCATAATTATCATCAGTATTATTATTGCCATAATTGTTATTGTGTGCTGTACTCCTGTACATGACATTAGAAAATGGAACTCAATCACTCAGTCGAGTATCAATTGATATAACCCAAAGTACTCTTTATATGCCATTACTTCTAGATGAGTGAGTGATATTAGTAATTTCAGGTCAGCATCTTTTCAACATTTTTTCTGGAAAGTCTCCATTGATGGACTTTCTCACATTAATCAACACTTAAAAGAAATTGCGTTTCTGTGTCAATGAAAATGCTTTTTAGGTGATGATATAAAATTTGATGTTTTCCCTGTCATCATTTATTCTTCATTTGGTACTACAATATAATTCAGGTGTGATAATAACAATTTAAATTTATTTTGTAAAATATATCTATTAATCAATATTAATGAAGTGTATTTAATGAAAAACAGGTCTGGAGCATGTTTAGAGTAATAAAATACAATAGGCGGCTGCCATGATACAGATGCCATAAAAGTATTTAAGAAAATACGTTTAATGATAAATCTATACAATAAATCTACTGCATCTGTGGCAATACTATACTGTTTCGTTTTATATTCATATTTAAATATTTTATATTCAAGATATTTTTACTGTGGTTTATTTCAATTAAAATGATAATTCTTTAAAGCCAAAATCTAGAAACAGTTTTATTTAAGAAAATATATATTTAAAAAAAAAAGAAGAAAAAAACTGTTTTATGACTTATTAAAAAAGTATTATACAACTACAGTTCCCAGTACTTTATTTGGATTTGTGAGTACAGTGACATACGCTACTTTCTTTTTATCCTTCTGGACTTAAGTAGCAGGTGTTCTCTTTATACTACGGTAGAGTTGTTTTTTTCTGTTCAATTGTTTGTGCATCAAGTACTTTGGCCCATTTCGGCCTAGCTGTACAGATAGCATAATACTGCTATATACTGTATTGCTCAGTAAAGCTCGACCTCCTCACTTCAGTGATTACATCATTCTCTTTGTGTGTGTTTACAGTGTACCTTTTTATTTCCCAATAAATAAGTCTCACTGAAAGTTTAATTCAATCAAGATTATGGCTATCAATAGTATCATTCAATGATTAATAGATTTTATAATATGAAAATATAATTATGAAAAACCATTGATTTTGTAATAGCAATCTGTGCTTTATGCATGCTGCAGTAGCTTTCTTCTCAAAATTTGACAACAAAATATATAAGTAATTATTGTAACTATTATTATTTATTATTATTATTAAATATTGAAATACCAATTTCAAAAATCATTCCAGTACATCAAAATTTGCCAAACAGCCTCCCCCACTTCACCCCTTTTTTGTATGTGACCCCTGAAAAAGGGGGAAAAGGAGAAGTGGGAAGTCGTTTGCTTTAACATTTTTTTCTTTTTTTTTCTCACAGAAACTACAGTCCTCTGATGAGTGGTGGATATAGTTTTGTCTGCTTTTTGGTAAGATTTATGAATTTCTTTAATACAATAAAAATGATAACCAAAATACATGGTAATAAATAATTTAAAATAAATTATGTCATTCTTATCATTTTATTTTTTATATAAATACCTCTTTTGTAATATGATGTCAATACAGTACCTTTACAAGGCACAGGGCATTAATATTTAATTGGGTCATTACATCAATGAACATCTATGAAACACATACTGTACTCAGCTCCCTGGGGGAATATTCCATAATATTCAGCTATAATTTTTTATCTCTATTTAGTGTTTGAACCTTTGGATACAAAAAGAGAAATATACTGTATATACTTTAGTTCCTCGAGTATAAGCCCATCTTGGATACAGTATGCCAACCCCTTTCTTTACCCCCAATTTTACTTGCCAGCCTATTCTTGGGCAAAATATTTGAATGAGTAAGTTAGACTGGATTTGAGTTACAGTAGACATGCAGTACTGAAAAAATGCCTTTTGATTAACAAAAAGAGGAATTCCCAGGATATAAGGCCCTATAAAAAATATTATAGTTTATCAACCTATCTAGACTGGAAAAGTGATAAGAGAGGAAGGGAGGCTTTTTTTTAAATTTTTTATTTTGCTAAAGCCAAATATCACCCTTGAGTTGTTTGCTGGTGCATTAATATTTAAAGTAAAAAAATGATTGAGATAATACAAACATCTACTAACTATTAAATACAAAAAAAGGGGAAAAAATTCAATTTTTTTTTTAAATTTTCTTTTTTAAGTACCATTGAAGACATGCATGCAGGTGATAAACTAATAAGCCTATTTTTTTTTTATTGGCCTATGCCCACCCATCAAAGGTTCAAAATCGGCCTCTTTTTGTGTTCAGGAGGGATGGGCTTATACTAGAGAGGAGCTACAAATATAAATTTTGTACTAGTCAAATAATATTTATCCTACGTTAACAGTTTATTTTTTAACTTTCAAATCAATCTCGTATTATTCTCACGAATAGTTGTTCTGTATACACCATTTTATCTGGTCTATTTTGAAACAGCGCAACTAATGATCTAGACTGGAAAAGTGATAAGAGAGGAAGGGAGGCTTTTTTTTAAATTTTTTATTTTGCTAAAGCCAAATATCACCCTTGAGTTGTTTGCTGGTGCATTAATATTTAAAGTAAAAAAATGATTGAGATAATACAAACATCTACTAACTATTAAATACAAAAAAAGGGGAAAAAATTCAATTTTTTTTTTAAATTTTCTTTTTTAAGTACCATTGAAGACATGCATGCAGGTGATAAACTAATAAGCCTATTTTTTTTTTATTGGCCTATGCCCACCCATCAAAGGTTCAAAATCGGCCTCTTTTTGTGTTCAGGAGGGATGGGCTTATACTAGAGAGGAGCTACAAATATAAATTTTGTACTAGTCAAATAATATTTATCCTACGTTAACAGTTTATTTTTTAACTTTCCAATCAATCTCGTATTATTCTCACGAATAGTTGTTCTGTATACACCATTTTATCTGGTCTATTTTGAAACAGCGCAACTAATGTCACAACTTTTCACTGAGGGACTTCAAGCAGCCTAGCCTGAGCAATTTTCATTTTTTCCAGACACATCTTTTTCTGAGTACTTTGACAACCAAAAACACTACAGGTTTTATGCCCCCCCATTTTCTTTTTTTTTTTTTTTTTTGACATTTTGTTTTCAAAAAACCAGCCTAGGCCTGTACAACAACATGGTACACAACTAGTCACACAGAAAACAGATAGCTACGTAGAGTGAAATGCCTAGGCCTCTACAAGTCCCCGTTGATAGTTGCCAGGTTCTGAATCTCGGAAATTTTCATTTCAAATTTAGCAAAAATGGTGTACTGTACTGAAAGTGATATATTTGGACCTTAAATTCTAGCTATCACCTTTATCAAAGTAAATAAAAATATAGACTTTGTAGTGGGGCTGTAGTTTATGATCAAATGCTTGCCTACAGTCTCAGTATCTTGTGTTAAAATCACCACACCAGAATTTTTATACAAACTAACAATTCTTTTCCTTATACTGTAGCATCATAATATTTAATGACTTTACAGCTTTAACGGTGGCTAGTCGATTGTTGTAAATAATAGATGATGATAGATTTTAAAATTAACACTGACCTGAGAGATTAGTTATTTATCATAGGTTTATTTCTGAGAGGTGCTTTCTGGTCTATTTGAAAGTATGAGAAAAATATAGAGGCCTGGACGTATAAGATATCCTAGGGTACTGTATATTAAAGTTGCATACAATATGGAAATTGATTGAAAGGGTTCTATATGGAATGTTTTATGAAGTTTTTGACGAATTTCCCTGCCCTAAACAGATTTGGAAGAAATGGAAATTTCAGTAGTTCAATTTGGTGCCATCTGGTGCCATTTAGGTGCTATAGACATTCATACCTTAGTCCCAACCATGGTGGACTATATACAGTAGTCTAAACCCTTCATCTGTAAAACCCTCCACTGAGATTCACTTTGGACATATTTCAATTTGAAAATCCCACTTATTATTAATTAGAACTCTAATTAGTACCATAGAAGTACTTTATCTTTTGAAAGATGACAGAAATCTTGAGTTTAGAATTCTCAGAAATGCATTCTAAAATAAATCCTTTGATTATGGAGTTACTTTGTTCAGTGGCCAATTAGGCCTACGGATCTGATACCAGCACTGAAATAATTTGGTAAATGGTGTGATGCGGTCGGAATGCTATAAAAATTTATGCTGTACTACACACCTTGGTGTTTATGTTAGGCCCTATAAAAAATATTGTTAGTTTATCACCCTATCTGGGCAGGAAAAGTGATGAGGGTGGGAGACTTTTTTTTAATTTTTTATTTTGCTAAAGCCAAATATAACCCTTGGTTTGTTTGCTGGTGCATTGATATTCAAAGTAAAACATGATTTAGATAATGCAAACAATATCTACTAACTATTTAATAAAATTAATGAAAAAAATAAATAAATAAAATTAAAAAAATAAATTTTTCAAAAAAATTTTTTTTTTTTTTCAAAAAAAAAAATTATAAAAAAAAAAAAATTTCATTTTTTTTTTTTTTCTAGTACCATAGAAGCCATGCGCGCGAGGGTGATAAACTAATAATTTTTTTTATTGGGCCTTATTACTGTACATAACAAAGTATTAAACAGTATTGTATTTTGTAGATTGTTGAAATTATTTGGACATGGTAACAGTATTGTACTGTACAGTGGTTTTTGTACACTAACCATCAAAATCAAAATTATAAATGCAAAACACTACCACAGTGCAATGGTTACAGTACGTCATATAATTGAGAGTTGCATAGGCCTACCTGCGGTGAATCGTCAAGGTGGAAATAAATCTGAAATATTGTTAATGTAGTTGTGGTAATGCTGAAATTTCATCAATATAATCATATTTTGTCTGAATATATTATTCTTGCTGCATTTTTTTATGTACATATGGAACAACGTTTACCATTTTTTAATGGCAATCTCTCGCACTGATACCAGATGTTTAGTTGTGTCATGCATGTCACATAATTAGGCGACTACTGTATATTATTAATCTATTTTAGGCCCAGATGCTGAGACATTTTGCTGTTTAAAAATCCTTCATTGTACTGTACAGTATGTTGAATCATTTTTATGTGTCCTGTAGTAAAGGTATTTCTATATGCTGCTTAATCAGTGGTTTAATGCCTATGCACTCTTGTTGATAGGCATTAAACCCCTAGTCTCGGCTCCCCTGGCCCGTTCGTTATGCCATTTTAATAATCAGATAAAAAAATGTTATTTTTGACAGAAAACATAAGTTTTCTATAAACTTTAGTAGCATTGATTTATACCATTGTGTGATTATGAAGTCACAAAGAGAGTGGCTGCATCTATTTTTAGATCTGGTACTCTAGACAATTTTCCTGAGAGCTGAGAGTTACAAAGAATTTGGGAAAAAGCCAATGATGTCATATGATGGTGACAGGTACTATAACAAGACAGCTACAGTAGTCCTTTTCTTCAAAATTACAGCAATATAATATTGTGACTGTAATCATGGATGGATACAGTACCTGTTCCTCCGTACTCTACCATATTAGAGTGTGCCACTCCTCTTTAAATGGATCCCTAATGATATACTTTCTCTAAATTATGTTGAAGCTAAATTCTTCTAAGCTTGCATTGTATTAACTAAACTATTAAATTTACAGGTTTCACCAGCAAAAAGATATTGATGAAAAATTGATAGGAATTAAATAAATAAATAAATAAAATTATAAATTTATATAAAACTACAAATAGACTTTATAGTTATAATGTAGACAAAACAGTGACAGGGTATTGCAAAGTTAATAGTCAGGACAACGGCCTAAAAATGAAGTTTACTCATTGAATTACAAAGAAGTCATTAGATTTTTTATATTCTTTTGGCTTTCCATTGATCAAATGTTACCTCATCTAATCTCAATATACAGTATATGCCTCACAATATTTATGCACATCCCAGTTCTGTTTACTGTACTGTACAAGAACTGCTGGTATAAGCTATAATGCAGTAAAATGTAGAATTTTGTGGAAAATAACATGAGAGTAATTTCAAAATGTGATGAAGGACATCACAACAGTACTGTTGCATCAAAATATTTTAAAGGCAAACAACCCCAAAAAACAATGTACAGTATAGGTTTTTAAGAGCCAGTAAAAAGATAAACTATTATATTTGTTTGACTGATCTCTGTTTTTTTAGCTCTTAAAATCACCAATCTATTTTTTAGCTCTTAAAATCACCAAATTATATTCCACCCTGTGTGGCAAGTCACTCAATGTTAGATGGGAACTAAGTATATATATATATTTTTAATTACAATGAAAGAAAAATAAACATAATGAATATAACAAAAATCAAAATGTAAACACTATACAGTTGGTCATAATAAAATATAATTTATGTGGAGTATTGTATAACCAAAGACATTATAAAAAGTAGTGTTGTATACCTTTAAAATGATAAACAATTAAGATTAGCAATGTTGGTGCAGATATTAAGCAATGTTGGTGCAGATAATTGTCCCTTCTCAAGGACATAACAAGTGACCAGCCTCAATGCCAGCTCTTGACCTTTAATACTTAAAACTGGGAGTGTGCTGTAGTATGCCATGGACCATTCCTCTATAAGTTCCTCCCCTTGGATTGTTCCTAATGGGGTCCCACAAAACTTCAGTGTAACATATGTATATCCCTGTGCATTTGTGGAGCAGCAAATTTTCTTTTTAAAAACAATATATAGTTTTGATATTTGTGGGGGAAAATAAAATTTTATCATTCATGCAATATCTGGATAAATTAACATTCTATGTTGACATTGATTTTTTTTTTTCCAAATTATCAAATAAATTATCCTGATGTTCTAATAATTTTGGTGATCAATTTAGGATGTTTGGTGTAATAGGAGTTTGATATCTCATTGGGAATTCATAAATTAGCCTTAAATTATGTTTTGATTTGAATTTTTAGACCTTTTTTAATACTTTTACAAAAGTGCTATACAAATTATTATTGTATTAATTTCAATTTCAATTTATTCAAAACCACCGAAATGGAGAGATAAAATGTAGGACAAAGAATTTGATACATCATGCGTCAAAATACAAGGTTTATTTTTAAAAAGTGTAAAAAGAAATTATAAAAAAGAAATTATATAAGATGACATGATAAATAATAATAATGGTATGGTTTTTTCCCCCTAATGTTTAGAATGCAATAATGTCTTTTGAAGAAGATAAGATGGAATTTGCCATGGTTGCGCTGAAGGAAACAGAAAAAATGTGTACAGTCAAAAAAGCTGAAAAGTCCCTTCGTGTCAAAATATTTGGTAATAACAGCAACACAAAGAAAACGCTGTTACCAATTACGCTTGAAGACCGCCTCCAGCGATTAGTCATTTATGCTGATTGCCAACTCTACATGTCTATGATCATCTTCTCTCGTTTTGAGATCTCTGGGTTTATGAAAGGTGGTTGGTTAATCAGAAAGGCGTTTAAACTGTATGAGAGAATATACAACGAGATAGCTGCTGTATATAAGGACCGCTTTGGACAGGACATTACACATCCAAATCAGACGAAGTTGCCAGAGAGCGAAACTGTCCCTGTCGATGACGACGCCAATTCCAATGATGGCACAGAAAATCTAGAAAATTTAGATTTCAGTGATATAACAGAAGAAAGCTTAGGCCGGTTGAAAGGGGCCGTTTCCTTTGGATTTGGACTACTTCAGCTTTGTATATCAATGATGCCCCCAAATGTACTTAAGTTGGTTAATATGTTTGGATTTCATGGGGATAAAGAGTTTGGTTTGACGTGCCTAGAGGAAGCAAGTAGAAGTACGGATATGAAAGCCCCTTTAGCTATGTGAGCAATTCTTTCATTCTTTCTTTTTTAATATTTGTTTTAATACATAAACCATATTATCAGCATTTAAAACAATTATTATTTTTTTCCAAATCTCTGTGTCCAATAGTAGAGTACTGTACATTTAATTTACAGTTGATTTGACTGAAATACTGCATTATTAATAAAATATAGCAAATAGTAATTATTAATAAAATATAGCAAATATGTATTATTAATCACATTTTTTTAGTTCCTAGATTCTGAAGCCATATATTATTGATAGAGTACTATGTTTATTCCAATTTTTGGCTCTTATTTATTATTAATTTATGACTTTGTTTATGTTATTAGTCTTTTATCAACGTGTACAGATAACATTTGGTGCTGGAGCCATTTTATAAGATCATTTTCATGGTCCCATTTTCATGGTCCCATTTTGATGGTCGGAAGCAGAAAAACATTTGAAAAAGATAATCTCCTCACTTATACTATCGTATTAATGGCACCCCAAATAATGTTTCTAAAATATAACATAATGTTTCTTATATACATCAGTCGACATATGCTACCGCTAAATTAGGAAATTATTTTCCATTGTTTTGCAATGTAGGTTTTCGATTATGATGCCAATAATGTTGCTTAAGTATGAGGCATTCAAAGGAAGTGTTATAGTACCTGTAACAAAATCCTATCTGACCTGAAAAATACAACATGTTGACCTAGACTAGAGTAGTAGTATATGATGTGACTTCTTTATTATCAAAATAAAAAATATTTATAGTTGAACTCTAGTTTAATGATGCATTTAAATGTTAGCTACATAGATTGTATTTTGATATGACTTTATATAGACAATGATGATATAATTACAGTATGTTGATCATAAACACTTCTCTTTATTATGAAACCTTTTTTCAAACACAAAAGTCATTAATATTTAAATAATTTTTTTTTTTTTTAAATCACTATGAATATTGAGAATATACAGTAGTACCATATATATTTCCCCCATGGTAGTACTTAATATTGAGTTTCACTGAACAAGTCACCAAGTTGAACAATCCATTTGGCATTTTGTTTGGTTAAGAAAAATGTTAAATCCCTGCATCTTCAGACAAGACAGTCTTTACAGATATTAATAATTCACCATCTGTTATATAGATTTAGTATTAAATATTTGCATGTAATGACTGTGATGACCTATAATAATTAGTTTTCTTTTGTGTTTGCATTTCTAGGTTATCATTACTATGGTATCATACTGTAGTTAGGCCGTTCTTTGGAATTGATGGTAGTAATACTGAACATTGCATCAGGGAAGCAAAAGAAATCCTTGAAGTTAATGAAGTGAAATATTCACAGTCTGCACTGGTTATGTTTTATAGGGGAAGAGTACAGAAGCTGGAGGTATCAATCATGTTATTATTTCTATTATTACATGATTCTTTGATCACAGTTTTTTGTAATATTAAACCATACCCACAGTATATACTAATTGTTTGTTCACACATTAATTGTAATTCTACAAGTTTGGTTGTCTTGGAGACAATAGTTTAGTTACCAAAAAACCGCAAATAGAATCCTAATGGACTTAATCTTGAGAAGAAGCCCATCTCAAAATTGAAGCCCCATCAAAAGTAGAAAGTAGAAAGAAACAAAATAAATTAAAAACATGCTTGGTTTATTCAGTAGTTCAGGTGGTTTAATGCACTCCATGATACAGATTGATGTTACATTGCCCCTATTTTATTATTTTTTTGTAGTAATTCCCAAAATTTAGCCCCCTCTTTAATTTACAAAAGTAGCCTCGAAAAGTACAGTAAAGCCCATCTGGAAAAGAAACCCATCAAAATTCGCTAAAAAAAAAGAACCCCAGGGCCTCTGTTTGAGGTTTTACAGTAGTAGTGGTCAAGCAAGACTTTTTATATCTTGTTTTTCACAGCGAAAGATATTCAGAATTGTTGGAAAAAATATAGAATATAATTTGATTTTCTGATGTCAAAATGGTTCTACTATAGAGTCTAGGTGGTGAAGAAATTAAACAAATAAACCAAAGCAAGGACTTAAAATTCCCCAAAGCTCCTCAGTGATTTACAAAAAAGAAAGGAGATTTGTAGGATTTTATATTATAATATATACAGTAGTACTGTGGATCAGCAGATTTATGGATCAGATTCTCATTTTAAATCTAAGGTTTGAATCCTGGAAATATCTTTTTTTATGACCAGTGAAATAAGTTACCAATTCTAAGCCTCACATGTACATAATAGTTTATATCTACCCTTAATATACACTTCGCAATAGGTTTTAATGTCTGTAATGTTCGTCTTGATGTCATATATAAGGAAGTGTATTTTATGATGTTTAGAGTTCACAGTATAATATCACAAATGTTTTAAAATAAAGGCACCATTTTTTATTTCATAAAGAAATAGAAGAAAAAATTATACTGTACCATTAATAATTGAGAACAAATAAAAATGATGGCCAACATTGCACCTTACAATGTATTTATACACCAACATGTTAATTCATCTTTTTCACTAGTAATCCAAAGTTGAGTATAAAAAATATTATTTTTCAGTGTAATCTAGAAGAGTCGTTGAAAACATACAACGAAGCATACGATCTAGCTGTAGAGCAACGAGAGATACAGTTGATATGTCTGTATGAGATTGGGTGGTGTAGTATCATTAAGCTGAATTGGGAAGAAGGCCTCTTGGCATTTGCTAGGTAAAGTCTGTTTACATTTTTTATTTATAAACATTTTACATTTATTAAATCTTTTTGATTATACTTACAGAATAAATATTTGTTCACATTGGTTTGACTGATTATAAGTTTACTGTGTTCACATTCATGTTGCCTATCTTTAATATTTCTCGTGTAGCCATCTTTTTATGGCAAAATTAATTGTGCCAGAAACAGTACAATGTATTCGGCATCGCACATGTATTTTAACTAGCGATTGTTACATATCTAATTATTGATTCCATTGTGGATTGCAGAATATAGATTCACTCTAATAGCTCTTAATTGCCTATGACTACTGTATCAAAATACAGATATTTATTTTCATTATTTTGAAGATGAATTATAATCTTAATTGGTTTTTTTCTTATAATTATTTTATCTATTTTAAAATAATCCAATTTGATTGATTTTAATAATTATTACTCCTCGACCGACTGGCACTGCCACTTTCCTTTAGTTTAAGCACTGTCTAACCATTGATCCCTCTCACCTCTGAAATAAAAGTGCATGTTAATTACATATCTCACATGACTATGTGACCTGGAATAATGGATTTGCAAGTACTGTATAACAAATTTTATGCATCACAATAGGCTCTTACCACCATCATTGTATTGTCTCTGGAGTAATTACAGGAGTTTATTTAATCATGTTTTTTTATAATTATTCGCTCAGGCTGAAAGAAGATTCTAGATGGTCTAAGTGTTATTATGCATATCTAACAGGAGGTAAGTCATATACTTCAAAAATAGAAATGTCAATTGAAATATAAACTGTGAGTTAGTGGTAAGATGCAAACCTTTAATTCTTAAGGCCTTGAGTTCAAATCCTGAGAATATTCTTGCACCAAAAAGCCTCACTTTGAGGAAGTGGTGGCCCCAGAGATTTTCCGACATGGGATTTGACATGGCAAACAAAATAAGGTTATTTGGATGGGAAACTTAATATTTTTGATCCGACAACCATATTCCAACGGGGTGGGAGTGGGGGAACCACTGCTTTGAGGTTGCATTAAGGGTTCCAAATTACATTGTTGAATTGTTATGAATTGCCTGAGTCTCCCTTTTCCTCTAACAATTATAGAGTTATGTGTATTGAGTCAGAAGTATAATTATTTTTTTTTTTTTTTAAATGACCACCTTAAAATCCAAGAATGTTTGTCATAATTAATATAGGAATAATGTTAAAAGAGAAAAGTCTATACAACAGAATAAAGTGACATCCGTCCAACTGGAATAATAAATAATTAAAATATTCCTGTTCAACTGTTTCGCTGTTATAATGTAAATAGTACCTGTAATCGAAACTCATTGTTGTCGGGATAACTGTACATGACAGCTGTTCTTCCAGATTTTTTGTACCTACTGCCCTCTGGAGGCAAATGATTTTTCCATAGCAAACATCTGAATTTACTGGTTATTGCTGGTGTCATTGATAATAATTTAGAGATATTTATTAATAATAATATTATATTATATTATAAATTTCTATTTTGACTTGTCTTTATGTAAGTCAATTTACTTTCAAGACTTGTTATGAGGATTGTACGTTATTATTATTATTATTATTATTATGTTGTAATGATGATGTTTGTACTGTTTTTAAATTATATTAAAGAGGGCCCCTGAATATCATTTAACCTACTGGGTTAAACTGGAAGGGTTACCCTCTTTAAAAATGGTTGAAATAAAAAAAAAAATAAATAAATAAATAAAATATTTGACTTTTATAAAAGCCCATATGTTTGGCCTAATGAGAAAATCAACCAATAAACTAATCATAAGGGCTTTAAAAGAATGACAGTATCCATTACTCTTAATATATTAGTCATGAGTAGGTGTTGACTCTGATGAGCTCATCCCCTTTTGTTCTTAGTTGCATTCTTAACACATTCTATTAATTAACATCTTTTCTAACCTGGTTGGGATCATTAAGTCTTTTTGATCATTGCAATAACACATTTTGACAGTAATTATGTGTTGTAGTTCCACATTTACAGTGAGTATATCCATTTTACACCCAAAAAAAATAAATGCTTCCTTCAAATAGAAGTCTCCCTCGAATAAACGTCCCTCAAAAACTCCTCTCAATAATGAACATCCCGGAGCGTTTATTCTAATAAATATGGTATAATTAACAACCAATCTGAAGGAAGCCAGTAGACAAGTTAAATGTCAACAAAATTTATACTAGAGTTTATTTGAGAAAATTCAGACAACTACTATATATAACAAAAAATGTAATTATAATAAATAGCAGCATTAATGGTATTGTTAACAATGGTATTAGACTCAGAATTGTACAATTATAACAGTGGCAATGAAATTTGATAGCATGGAATTTGATATTGTGGGATTTGATTTAGTGCATAATGTGCATTTTATGCGCATATCAAGTACCTAATTAAAAAAGATTTTTAATAACTATTGTAAGCATATGGAGCTATCCGTGAATTGCAATAATAATACGTTGGTTTTTAAGATATTTAATTTTCTGATTTATGCTGTCATCAATACAGTAAGATTTTAATATCCAGTAGAACCCCTATTAACATGACACCTTCGGGACCAAAAAATGTGTCCCTTGAATAAGTGTTGCAACACTCAAATTTGTAATGTGACATAATCTTATTTACCTATATAAGGGTTGATGATATTACATCACTTTCATATTATTTCAAATCACAGCTATTTATCACATATTGTTTATAAGGTTTTTATTTCATTGGATTTTGATATTTACTTTATTTTGTTTGTAGTCTGCCAAGGAGCACTAGGCCAGTTGGAAACAGCCCAGGAAATGTTCAAGGAAGTGCCAAAACTCTCTAAAAGGAAAAACAATCAGCTTGAAGCATTTGTTATTCGCAAGGTACGATCTCCTTGCCTCTATTGTAGCTTCTCTATTTTAATTAATTGTAATATGTATCTCCCTCTAATTACATACCCCTCCAATTAAAGACGACCTCCAATTAACGACCACTTTTTCTGTTATCCGAAATTAACAAATGTCTTTTTATATATTCAAATATCTTTATTATTCCGATTAGAGACCAAAGCTTAAAAGACCAACTCTTGTCCCAATAGTCTTTGATTGGAGGGAGTATATAATAATAATAATAATAATGAAATGATATACCGTATATATTTCAGTATTTATTTTATTGCACATTGAATCATCAATGTCTGCTGTTGTTGGTAAATTAACATATTTTGTTTTATTTAGTCCAATAAATTCAAGAAAAAGCTGCCAACTAAACCAGCGGCCATTTTGATGGTGATTGAGATTGTGTATTTGTGGAGAGCACTTCCATCCTGTTCACAGGAAACTCTAGATACCATGATTGAAAGTAAGAACGAAACTCGGTTTACTTTAAAATGTTCTTGAGGAAGCAATTTACTTTAAGATGTTCACAGGAAGCAATTTCATAATGCTCAAAGCAAACAATTTGCATGGAACCAGTACCAGGAGTTAAAGTGAATCTCTCATCAATTTGTGCTCTTGTAATGTAGTGCATTTATATTTTAAGACATAAAATGACCTAGAATCTCAATGTTTTCAGGAACTTAACTGCTGTGAAAATTATTACCATGTTTAACAGAGGCGAACCATAATAATAATAATAATATTTTAAAAGAGATTTTAGAGATTTTCATATATAATAGTAATAATGTTATATAATAATAATAATAATAATAATAATAAAAATAATGTTACTAAAACCTACCTTAAGGGGAACTTAGACAATGGAGAAATTAGAGAACATTAAAAAAAAAAACAATGTTAAAGGGAAAATAACATGACATTAAGGGGAAATTCACAAAATATATTTCCCTTAAGACCGAATTAGTGCTAGTTATTATAATACTAATAATAATAATAATAATAATAATAATAATAATAATAATCATAACAACAACAATAACAAGAATAAGAATGGTAATAAAACTGTAAGAATAGACACTTTTCTCTATGACCCAAATAATGTCCTGTATGCCCACATATACCTGTATCTCCAGCCTCACACACCATATAATCTCTGCACAAGACTGAGGGTGTGTTCGAGCTAGAATGGGAAAAAGTTGCATATGGTTCTTACCGGCATTGTATCCGCAGGTGGTCTACCGGTTCATGCAGAACTCGGCTTTAAAAAAAAACCAATAACCTCAGACATAAAATCTAAGGTATTATGCAAATGATGAGATTCTACCAAGTTGCCCTGGACCCTTGCATCACCCAGCTGCGTCACCCCACGATTTAGGAAACGGACTTTGGCGTTGGTCCACTGCATTAGTAGTTGTCTCAAAATCAAGTAATGAAATTATACCAAAGAGGCTACAACAATAATAAAGCATAGCAAACTCCCGATAAATCGCAATGCATTTTGGGCGTATAAACCATAAATAAACTTTCATTCGTTTGATAATTGTAATTCATTCGGGCTAGAACTTGAAATTGCTGTTGCCAGATTTATCCCGTGTTAGACTCCACAAAAAACTCGCCCGAACGCACCCTGAGACTTGCTTTAATTTGTGTTTCCTTAATCCAGCTTTGGACAATGCAACTCTGACTTTAGAAGAGCAGGCATTGTGTAGAATGTTGAAGGGTGCTTTACATCAACAGATGGGAAGTAAGGAAGCCGCCATGCAGGTAAATGCCTTGCCAGTCTCATTATTTTATGATTGTAATTGTTTTTCAGAATTTATCATTATACAAAATTATATTAAAGATGTACTGTCTGCCATAATGGAAAAACCTCAAAAATCCACTTAAAATTTTGAAAAGCTCATTTGAAAGGATCAAATAAGTTTTCAACCATAAACTGATAAAAAAAAATTAACTTTTATGGATTTTCAAACATTTTACTACAAATTGATGACAAGACAATTTGAGGGGTTATGCTGAAGAATACAACAATTTTGTTTATTAGTAATTTTGTTAATTAGTAATTATATCAAGTTTTATGTTTAACTAAAGATTTAAATGCCATTTAATTTTAATTATATATCAATAAAAATAATGATAACAACCACAACTATTACTACTAGTGATAATGATAATGTAGTATGTAATTAATATCTTGTATGTTGAATTGTTTTAGTGTTGCAGTAAATTTTGGCATCAATGCAACACATTATATTAATATCATTCGTCCGATTGGCACTCAGCTTTTATTGGTTTAGCTAATACTTATTTGGCATTTGGGTAGCAGCAAAGCCGTATAAGACTGCAAAAGGTCTGACTCTTAGTTTCTTTGGAACGTAATCCTATTTCAAAAAGTACTACCACAAAGGGGTGTGTCCTTCAAAATACAAGTTTCAAGTGAACTCTTTTTGAATTCTAATAGGGCGCCCCCTATCTCATGGTAGTACTTTTTTTAACATTTCAGTCTGTGCATGCATAATTAGGGCAGTCAGACCTCTTGCAATTCTGTACTCTATGGTAGCAGGTATTTAATTGTTTTCACTTTTTTGTGTTTGGTAACAGAACTATGAGGATGCAATGGCATATGCTGTCCAAGGCTGCGAAGATCCTTATGTAGCCCCTTACTGTTCCTTTGAACTTGGAATGTTGTTGACAGAGAAGCCATCAGTAAGTGGATCATATCAGTATGTCATACCATTAAGGCCAACTCAGACAGCACTGTACGATGCAGCCCAATGTGATTTGTGTGCAAGTTAAATGCTGATACAATAGGCCTGAGTCTAGGACGGTCGTGTCTCTAATGGTAAATTGGGCTGCGTCCTATGATGCTGTCTGAGTTGGCCTTTAAGGATGTTTATATTTATTAGTGGATTTTCGATGCAGTCATTTATTTTAACCAGTATTGTGGAACACTATTTCCATATGAAGACAGCTAGAGGCATTTCATACAATTACACATACTTGATGGTTGATACAGTAAGTGTAGAATAATACTTATAAACAATACAAAATATATTTATCATCATTTATTGTGTGTGTATATATATATATATATAATTGAAAACCTGAAGCCTAATATTGTTACCCAATCAGTTATTTAAAGTTTCATTACATTTAATATTAACACTTCCCTTAACAGTTTTATATTTGATCTCTTTTGTATTTTTTTAGACGGCAAGTAGAGGCAAAGCACTGATACTCAGAGCAAAGGTTTGTGTTAGCTGTGTATATTTTAATTAATTAATATTAATAATTTATATTTATTACAAGATTTCAGTTTTAATAATAGCTTAGGGTAAGTTATCCACTTTAATAATGTAAAATATGCATGATTTATTATATGACTCCTATGGACTTAGTGGTGATTTATTGTGACTTATAATTAGGATTTACTTATGACTTACAATATTTTCTTTTGACTTATATTAATGTTTAGCTTATAATATTTACACATGATTTATGAAACTTACTTGTGATTTTTCAGTAGTATGAATAAGATTACATTTAATGTAAATTCTCAGAAGTACAGGGATAACACAAGCACACTCATAAATAATGTGAAGTAATAAAACGCTTAAATTATATTCCAGGTTTCCCAACTACTCGAATGTTAAGCTATAAACTATTACATTTTTTAAATTTTCAGTTTAAAGGCAGGCTCCGGTTGCAGACAATTTTTTATATATAATAATGATAATAATGTCATGAGGAAATGCATTTAAATATAAAAATATATATAGATATTATCATATGAATACAAAATATCAATATACAATAGTATCAAAAGATACATCAATTTCACAGTCCAACTTGCTGGGGTTGATCGTTGTGTTGACTTGACTATTCCTATCACTGCTCCAATCCCACTTCTGTCAATAATAATTGTAGAGACCTCTATGCGCTTAGCATTATTACCCCCGGCCATTGGATCAAGCACATATGGAACACATACTCAGGTCCCTTGGGAAAAATTCCATAATGTTGCAGCTGTAATCAGCGCATGGTTGTGTTTGAACCTACCAGGTACCCATTTGTACTCCTGGGTGGAGAGAGGCAACTGTAGGTAATGTGCCTTGCCCAAGGACACAAGCGACTTGCACAGCGAGAGTTTCAAACCTGTGATCTCAAGATTGGGAGTCCAAACTACAACTGATGCGCTAACCGCTTCTTCGGTATGTTGTACAGCTGATTTTTCCAAGACAAACATAAAAAGCATATTTGACAAAAAACTCAGGAACGGTTAATGAGATACAGATTTTTTGATATTTAGAAACTGGGGGGGAAACGTTAAAAGAAGGGTGTTTACACCCCTTCCCCCCCCCCCCCCCAGTTTTTTAAACTTACAAACAATTAACTCAAAACTGTTCCAAGTTTTTCGTCAAATATGCTTCTTGTGTCTTAGAAAAATCAGTTTTACAACATTACAAAACATTTTTTCCTCCGGAGCCTGGCTTTGAAACACTGTGCAAGCACATTGCGAGCAATCAGCATTAACTAAATTATATTGCTAATTAATCAGATATTACTTTATTGTATGTATTGATATTTAAGATATTATATATATATGGTGAAATCTTGAACAATTAAATTGAAATTTAATTGCTCTGTAAATAATAATCTAAATAAATAAGATATTAATTTTTAATAGAATCTAAATATTTTTTTTGCTTAAATAAAACAAATTTCTAACTTCAAAACCTTTTTGATACCAGCCAATTTATATTTGTATATTATAAAGAATATATATATATAACACTGTACATTTTTAATAATTTGTTTTTCCAGGAAAACTATAAAGACTTTGATTTTGAGAATCGACTGAACGTTCGTGTCCATGCAGCACTGCAGCAATTGGAAGGCATCGACTAAAGAGATTCTACTCTCAGATTATAGATGAGAACGTTACACATTACTAATGAAAAAAATTCATCATAATGTAGATCAACATTAATATTTTGCTTATAAAAATCTGTTGTCAGCATTTCAGAAGAAATCAAATTGCAAGTATTTCTGCATGACATCTTGAAGTCGTCTTTCTTTTCAGATGTTACATAGCATATGATCACAATTGTGCTAGAAGATACCTAATAGAATAGAAATAACGTTCAACACATAAATTTACCAACTTGTACCTTAGCCAACTCGTACCAAAGTTGAACAACTTGTAAATAGGTTTAGTGTGATCATGGAGGAATAAAAGCTTATTCCCATTTTATTCTTCCATGTTGTAATCAATATTTTAGTTTTAGGTCATCTTTTCGAAATTTGGAATGATATTTAGCCGTCTATATTTTAAGAAAGAGCTGTCCCATGAGTGAGTAAGGCACTGTCCTGACTATCAAATTTTCTTTGACAGAAGCAGGTGACATGCCTAAATATGGTCATGATGACATCACATCATAACCATATATAGACACATCATGACTATATTATGGATATACAACAGTTTTTTGTCAAAGAAAATTTGATAGTTTGGACAAAACTGGAGTAAGTTTGCTAGGGTACGAGTTCTTGGTGAGTATGAGTTCATTACATACTGGTCAGGTACCAGTTACTGTTTTTTTTTTTTTTTTTCTTATGAAGGAAGGACAAGGCAGTAAGCCATGTGATTGCAATTAACATGTCATGTCAGTTTACAACACCAATGTTCTGGAAAATATTTTAGTGCTTTTTTAAAGATATTAAAGTTAGTGTTGAATGAAGAATGGTGGCGATAGAATTGAAAATTGAGATGTTGGAGAGAGAATGAAGTATAGAATGACAAGGATGGTGAAAATTGAGAATATGAAAATGAATAAAGAAGAAGAATAGTAGAGGATAATGCAATGGATATAGCTAAAAAAAAAAATTAGTTGCAATTATAATATAAATCTATCATATTTTACTAGCAGTATCTAGGTATAATTTTAGAATTTGCTTGTTATTTAAGATTAAGTAAGCGATTTTTTACTGGATGTTGGTGGAGGGGGTGTGGCTCAGCACTAAGGTGTTTGCTTCCAATTTCAAGATTCTTAGTTCGAATCTTAAGCTGTTCAGTCTACTGTATGTTGTCTTTGGCCAAGGTGCTGGTCTATCCTACGCTCTCCACACAGTAGTATTTATGATCTATCATTGACTCTCATATAGAGAGTTTTTCCTGCTGTATCAGTTACTTACTTCAAATGGTTGATAGAACCATGATAAATATTCTTGGTATTCTATCAAGAAAAAAAATCTAATTGTTTGATTTAGTATGATTATCAGTTATATATATTATTATTTTATTATTATTATTATTATTGTTTTTATTATTATTACTATACTAATATTTGTTGATATTCTTATATACACATTAATTTCTTAACACTGTACTAAAGATTCAGCATGACGTACTGTACTTTTAACTGACGTCTATTCTTCGGAATGGTGCATGCTCAGATATTGGTATGTTGCTACTACCAAAGGTACCACACTGACAGATCCATGGGTGGCTAATTTTGTGTTCATCCTTTGGCAGCAGCCATAAAGTCTAACCAACTGTGAAATCATTTAGAATAGATAATATGTTAAGGTATATAAAAGCAGAACATCAAGGGGTGTAGCCTCCTAGATGTCTACAATTGGCAAGGGACCAACCCCAACTCTCTCTCCACTCAATTGGTCATCACATCTTCAATCTAAGTACTGCTAACAGGGAGCAGTTTTATATAAATATCACTTATAATGTAAAGCATTCTTAAATTGTAGCAACTGAAATTGGTTGAAGAAAACAGACTTCATATCAAGCTTATTCCTTCTCTAAAAAATGCAATTAAAATGATGTTAGATATTGTGGAATACTGTACTGTGTTTAACGTATATTGTCTGAAAGTACAAAGGTTAAATAAAGGGGAAGAAAACATAGTTAATAAACAGTATGCCTGCTTCTGATAATTATGCCCAGATGCTGTATCTGTTCTCTGGGTATAATCTGTAATATGTGACGACATTGATTTCATTATTTGTATTCATATTGATAAAATTATTAAAATATAATTATTTACAAAATTGAATCTTTATTGCATCGATTTCCGTGTTTCCACCAAAAATTGATTATAATAATAATAATAATAATAATAATTATGCGGTATTTCAACACAATCATGATACAACGATATCATCAGCACTGCCATACAATCATCACTTCCACCTCTACATTCTCCAAAACTTGTGCGACATTATGATAGTAGATAAATATAGGTCTGCAGCGATTTCAAACAAACTGATGGTGCCAGGATCTGCCTGATGGAGAGGACTGAAGGCCCCGACAGGGTGGGGGGATAAAAGAACAAAGCAAAGATGTTGGCTGGGAGTCACCAATGGCGTCCGGGAGGTTGCAAGGACAAATCCCCAGGAAGCTACAAATTTCGGTGAATTGATATTATTTTTTTTAATGGGCATCACACTAATGTAGACAGTTGCAGAGATTCCATATTTTCATAGAAGGAATATTTTGAATTGACCCACTAAGGCTGGGGTGGCATATTCTAAAATGACCAATTTATTAGATTTCTGAGGTGGAAATCTGACAAAAAAATAATGCTCTACAAATTTGAAAAAAAAAACAACAAAACAAAGCAAAAAAACATTACAATTATATGAATTCAAGATAACTAAAATATAAAACATCGAAGAAAGACCAAGCAATTTGTACTTGCCTATTTATGTCTAATTAAGTTCTAACCAGAGTGATTGAATTTTTCTGCCAACTCAACTAAAATTTGAAACCAAAAAAAAAAAAAATCTCAAACATTTTTAAAGCTTATTTCATTTTATTTATTTTGTCACCTGGTATAAAATACAATAGGCCCTATTCAAAAAGGTTATACAAAGCAAGTGGACCGGATTGCCAATAACAAAATTAATCACTTTCTATGTAGCTCTCCAATCCCCATCCAACAAAATAGAATATAAATAATTATGTGTACATAACATTTATTTAATATATTGCTATAACGTATTTTTTTTAATAATAAACATTAAGGTATTCAATTATAAAATGCATTAACATTTAGTTGCCGTACAGAGAATTTATAAAAAAGTATTACAAAAATTACCATAAAAAAGTTAAAGAGCAACACGATGATTACTTATTAATTTTCTGTGAATAAATTTTGAATCAAATGACTAAAGTAGAAACAAAGTTTCTCTCCTTTCTGTTTCATTATCTATTCTCCCCTTTCTGTTTCATTATCTATTCTATTGAGAACTCGGAGACATTTCGGACAATATAATAGGCTACATACATGGCGGAACGCCTTTGGGCTCTCGAGGGTCCTTCTACTAAAGCTTGTGTTCCATATAATCGCTATACCCTCGGTATTGGTTGATATTCCATCTTAAAAGAGGCCCCTCGTAATCGACTACTAAAATACATGCCCCCCCCCCAGTGGCGTATCTACGGGGGGGGGGGGGGTGCGGGGAGGTGGCGCCAAAAAATTACTCGCCCTACCCCCGAAAAAAAATTATGTTCAAGTAGTTAAAATCACCTTATTTTGCGAATTAGCGCCCCTCAACTCTGATCATCAAGCCCCGTCCACTTCACCTTTGCCCCTCCTCATCATCCCCACCCCCATTCAAGACTCCTAGATACGCCACTGCACCCACTCCCCCTCAACACATTCTCGCCCTTTGATTCGTCGTTACTCCACTGGCTATCATCGAATCCATCCGTCAGTGTTGTAAATGCCTAGCTGAGGGTGGTATCGCAACTTTGTAGCGATAGGGTTCTATGTCTCAGAAGCACAACTTTTCTGATAGTCAAATATCTTAAATAAAATGGCAATTTAATTTATTTTATGACCCCTGCTGATGCCACCAATGCTTCATACATACATCCATCCCACCAACAATGGAAATGTAAAGTTGTAGTACATTGCATATAATTATAGGCACATTACGGTCGTCTATACCATGAATAATGATCTGTGGGTTTGAAAAAAATCTCCCCAACCGAGATTCGAACCAAGGTTTTCTGTTGTCATGCAGACCTCTTAACCAGCCGGGTCACTGGGCTTTCGTTGGAAACTTGAATCCGTTTGGAGGCCAGTGGTGGATGGGGGAGAGTGAGGAGAACGCTCTCTAATATTCTCTGTAATTTTTACAGAATGTGAGACATCGATTAAACAAGCCTTTAATATTCCGAAATTGTCCGAGTTTCCTTTAAGGGGTTATGAATTTCTTTTTCTCCCACCTACGTACGCTCCCGTTAGAGAAATCGGTCTCCCCGTCGGGGACGTGTCACCCCGTCGTCAGGTCCTGGTGCCACGACTTTTAAAGAAGGCCTAAATGGTTGAGTGTGCCCTCAACGTGATGAGCGTTGAATGAAAAGACCGCTGAGACTTGTTCGTTGTGTCATCAAAACCAACAGATATATATTTAAGAACGTCTTAGTTATGAATATAGGCCTAAAGTTAAATGGAAACTAAAAATATTTCGAAAGGAACCGATAACATACTGACTAATAGGAATAGGTAAGTATGAATTTATTATCTTTTCCTTAAATATCACGTCGTTAAATCACACACAGTGGCGGCGCCAGCGATTGTAATCTGAGTGGGAAGTAGTGGAAAGGTAAAATTTTAGGGGAAATATGCTGGGTGGTCCAAGGTGGGCGTGGTCGGACGTAGCTCAAAATGTCTCGAAAGTGGTTCGGGACAATTTTTACAGGCAAAGTAAGGAAAGATGTAAAACCTCATTGATAGAACTAGTTCATAAGACATTGCTGGAACCTAGATTGGTGGTTAGCTGGAAACAATTTCTCCAGTATAAATAATTTTTTAAAATAATAATAAATTAAAAAGGTAGTCCTGTATTCATTAATGAACATAGGGGAATGAGCTGTCACCCCATCATACTAAGCCTTGGTATTGTGTGGTAGGCTGTCTCTTATACACATCTAGATGTGTATAAGAGACAGGTTTAATTTTACAGGAAAACGCAAACATTTTTTTTTGTTTTGTTTTTTGTAATGATATTATGCGGGTGTCTTTACATATCTTGATACATATAAATTCTCAGAAAATATTTTCTAATTTTATCATTCATTACCACCTTTTTATTACATAGATCTTTTTCAAAAACGTAACTGCTTTTACAACATTATATTGACCCATTAAACACAAAAACTGCTCTGGCTTCGGGGCTTCGCCCCCGACCCCACCGTGGCCCTTAGGCAGGCCCCTGGCCGGACCCCATGCCCAGAGAACCCCATTTGAAATGACCTGGCGTTTCGTAAATAATTTATACAAGGATGATACAAATAATGTCTTTGAGATAATTATACTGGTAAAATCACACTTTTTGTACTGATAACTTTGTTTTTTTTTTGTTATTTATAGTATGAAAGCTGTGAAGAAAAATTTATATGTGGCAACCTTGGTTGCTCTGCTTGGTCCAGTTATGGTGGGCTACACCCTGGCATACACATCTCCTGCTGTACCTGACATGGAAGACAGAGGAGTGTTGAAGACGACTGATCAAATATCGTGGTTTGGTGTAAATATCTTGAACTAGGCCTACATCTGATGTAGCACTAATACGGATAGCAGATGCTTTAATTATCTTTATGGATATAACATTTTACCACCATATGTGGTTAATTCCGTATATTTCACACACATTCTGTCACTCACTCACTCACAATTAGCTCGCTGACTTACACATGATTAGTTTATGTTCAGTTTCTTTAGGCCTATTTATATCGTTCCACATACCATAAAACCTCGAATAGAAGAACAGTGGGCTTAATCTCGAGAAGAAGCCCATCTCGCAAAGAAGTCCATGGGACTTCTAATCAAGATAGTTTTGGCTTCTTTTTGAGAGAGTACTTACATTCTTGATGATTATGAAAAGAGCCATCTCAAAAGTGAGTCCCCAGGGTTCTAAAAAGAAGCCCAGGGCTTCTCTTTGTGGTTTTACGGTATACTATTGACGTCTATAGTAAATTACATTTTTCTACTAGAGTAGACCAAATACATGGTTGTAAATTAAACCAATATTTCAATAATTTCAGTCATTGGTTGCCGTTGGTGCTATATTCGGTTGCCCGATTGCTGGTTTTTGTGTTGGCTATTACGGGAGAAAAAATTCTGTGATATTGTGTTCTCTGCCATTTGTGGCTGGCTACGGCATGATAGCATTTTTAGATAATATGACAGCACTGTACATTGGACGTATACTGACCGGCATTGGAACAGGAATGGTTACTCTCTCAACTCCGGTAAGTAGTATAATGATGGCGAATGAATCAATTAATAAAGGAGCTAACACACAAAAATAATGAATAAATGAATGAATGAAATGAACGAACGAACGAGGAACAAGCGAAAGAGCAGGTGCAGGGGCGGATCCAGAGATTTCTGAAAGGGAGGGGGACCCGGAGAGTCAACACTACGCTAAGGGGTCCGGGAAATTTAAGTTTTCTAGACGCCCCCGGAAATAACCTCTGAGCCGTTTTGGGCGATCAATAATTTATTTTTCCCCATTTTTCCCATTTCTTTCTTTTTTTTTTTACTTTCCAAAAGGAGGACCATGTGGTGAAGGGGCGAATGGATGGATGGACGGACGAACGAATAAACGAACACCCGGTAAACTGGTGTCAGAACCTATGGTGTGGACCACTATACATGGGGTTTCCCCTCTACTCATTTTGAAAGGTTCTTTATAGTGCACATAAGCCAATTGTGTACTCTGGGACCGGTGTTGTTTTTTTTCCCGCGAAGACTTGTTCCACCACCGGAAAGACGCAGGTATGAAACTGTTTGCTTTTAGAAAGTTATTTTCCATTTCTACATCCATAGGTATACATAGCGGAGTTATCAAGTCCTGATCTGAGAGGAATGTTAGTAGGTGGTTCTCATTTGTTTTTAGGCGTTGGAATGCTTCTTGTAAACGCCTTCGGTAGGTGTATGAACCTTGTGTATGATTGTAGGCCTATGTAGGCTACTTCTGCGTTTGTGCAATCATCATTGTACAGGCATCTGAGTGCCACTTTTAAATGTTTGAATAAAACTTATTATTATTATTATGCCTACTGTGCAAGAGAAGAGATCACCAACTATTTCATATTATATGCCAACATATATTTTATATTCCAGGAATTTCGCTATCTTATGTCTGGTTGGCACTTGTTGGGTGTGCGATATCTACACTTTTAGGAGTACTAATGTTATTTATGCCAGAAACACCGCATTACTGCATCATCAAACATGGTCGTAGCAGAGCATTGGCAGCTCTAAAGTGGTTACGAGGCCAAGAGTATGACGTTGATCGGGAATACGAGCTTATTGCAAGTGATATACATTCAAAATCAGTACGAAACTTTTTAATTTCTGCCATATCTTTGTCTATATTAACTACGGTATATGCTTAGGTCAACCATCTTAAACAAAAATAATATCCACATTTGTAGTATACAACGATCTATTATTTGAGGGAGGCGGAACTGAATCTGGATTTTACTGGACCCTCTTTATAACCTGATTAGCTTTTTGCTTTATTGGTCACTTTTAGTAATTTAACTATTGCCTCTTGGACACTGAGAGCATATCCACCTTCGTATTTTACTTAGATTCTAGTCTAGCTAAAAAATATGCTCCTTAAAATTCAACTATATATACGGTACGGTCGGTAGTATTAATAAATGAACGTAGGAGAATGAGTTGTTAAGAGCACATCATGTATTTGGTATTGTGTGGTAGGTTGGGCATCTTCATTCCTCCTTTTAACTTCCCAGTAAAACAGGTATACATTTACAACTGAGATCCAAATAATAATGTTCTAGCATATCTTGGAGACTAAATATTTAAGACCATTTGGTTTTCATTTTCACAGACCGACTTTCAGTACAGAGAGTTTTTCCAGCCGAATCTGTACATCCCGCTATCAATCAGTGTAATAATGGGGATGTTAAAGCAATTCAGTGGTAATAATACCATTTGGTTCTACACTGTAACTATCTTGGAAAAATCGTCTACTACAATGGACAAGCATGTAGCAGTAATTATCGTAATTGTTGTTTTAGTTGTGGCAACTTTGGTGTCAATTTTACTCATCGACAGGACTGGGCGGAGAATACTACTTATAGTAGCTGGTAAGAAGTTTTAGAGGGAGGGGAACAGCCGGGAAAGTGTCCAGCTTGGGTGAACAATTAGATCAAAAGTTTAATAAACAAATGTTATCTATTTTGGACAAATCGTCTATATTAGATATCTAAATACCTATAGGAAATGCTATAGGCCCACTCGTCTTGGAGGCCGGTAGCTCCCTAAACTGTCACAAGCGCGTCTGCTTGTAAATTGGGACTGCCATTACCACAAAATCAAAAGACAGAAAGCTATGATTTTCAAACTTTTTAACAGGCATGGAAAGATGAATGTGAGGCATCAATACATTTTTATGAGGCCTAAGCTTGTGGTTGACAGGGTAACTAAACATATTCAAACCCATTATTATGTTCATAGGAATTGGAATGTGTATAAGCTCAAGTACATTTGGATTGTACTACAAGTTAGAAGAAAAAAAGTTGAATGACGCATTCATAAATGACGTCAATTTCACAGAATCGACATCAACGCCACCAACATCACCAGATCTCACATGGTTATCTCTTACAAGTTTGATTGTGTACACATTATCGTTCTCGCTTGCTTGGGGTCCTATCCCACTACTGATTATGTCAGAGATCTTACCAGCGAGAGCAAAGGGGCCTGCAAGTGCAGTTGCCACGGCAGTCAATTGGTTGTCTGCATTTATAGTAACAAAAGTGTTCTTCAAAATGTCTGTGAGTAACTAGCATATTAAATATATTATAATTATGTATTCATGACCTCATCGTTATCACCATCATTATGATTATTATAACACCATCATCATCCTCATAGCAATCATCATCTCAACAGCCATCGTCGTCATCATCACCGTCATCATCATCATCATCATCATTATCATCATCATCGTCATCGTCATCATCATCATCATTATCATCATCATCGTCATCATCATCATCATCATCATCATTAGGCCTACATTTGTCTTCATTGTCATTAGGCACCATCATTTTCACCACGACGAACACCACCACCACACCCACCACTAGTTGCAGAGTTTTAAATCAACACTGAAATAAACCATCAAGATGTCCACTAATGCTAGTTTCTCCTGGTCTCTGAGCTGCAACTTGGTTTTCCTCTGTCATTTAATTCCGCATTGAATTTATATGGCGTGGTACAGTTACTTAATTTTTTTTTAAATTATAATAATAATAAAACTTGTTGTAAATGTTTTTCCAATAGGTCGTGATGACAGACGCCGGGGTGTTCTGGTTCTATGGAGGTGTTAGTCTTTTGAGTGTCATCTTCGTTGCACTCTGTCTTCCTGAAACTAAAGGAAGATCTTTAGAGGAAATAGCAAGACATTTTCAACGCAATGATACACATTGCCGTAATCATTGCGTCTGATATATGATTATGGATAGGGTCGTAGTTAAAAATGATAGTGATGATGATTTTAATGATACTTGACTCATTCAATCATAATTAAACACGTAAACGCCTTTTATTAGTACCACCAGAAGGACCCCACTGAATATGTTTGAAGGGTTTCGTGGGTGTGTCAGGTTATCAAATTGTATTGTTATCATTAGTATAATAAAACCTTGTTTAATTAAATGAACATAGATATATGGACAAACGCTCTGTAATGGACTCGAGTGTTGATATTTTTCTTGGGAATCGGAAGAAAGCCACCCCTGTCGAAAGCCACCCAACATTGGAATATACCATTGTAAGGTGGGTGCACAATGGGGTGTTTGTCTTGATGTTGGTCTGCAATAGGTTTTGGCTGTAGTGCTAGGAGTTTTTTTTTGTGTCAGACCTCTTTTATTCTTTTGTGTATTATGAATTACAAACTGGGTGTTGCCAGCTACCTAAGCATAAACATTTAGTACTCCAAATGCAAAACTGGATAGCTTCTCTTAATTATGCAATTGAGTGGTTTCTAAAAAAAAAAATTTTACAGTCAACATTTCATTTATTTTTTTTTTCAGTGTCATTTCATCTTTCTCACTTTTCTTATTTTATTACAAACAATAAATAAAATAAATATTATTTTCCTTTCTTCTTTACTACCAATGACACATATTTATTTATTACAGTATTTATTTACTTTGTTTACTATTAGCATTTATTTATTAACATAAAGTAAAGTAAAAATTTAGAATATTTTCACTTCCAGTGTATTGATATGACAATTATTCACAAATAAATATTTACTATTCATTACTAAATATATTCTTATTTATTTTATTTTTATTTTATTTATTTTATTTAAAACATCTTTAGGCAGGATAACATATACAGGCGAGATCTTACCGCTGTTTTACAATATGGTCCTGCGAACACATATTACAATAACAACAACAAAAGTAACCATCACAGTACAACAAAATAAACAGCAGTTAAAACTTTGGTGGAAAACTATCCCCCGCTGGACACCAACCCGGTACTTCTGAGTCAAGGTTTCAGGGCCAGGAATTACAGCTCAAGGTTATGCTTAACTACAACTTAACTACAATATGGTAAAAACTATCCCCCGCCGGACACCAACCCGGTATTTCTGAGTCAAGGTTTCGGGGCCGGGATTACCAGGTAGGACAAATACTGTATAATTACTTAAATAGATAAAAATGGTAGAAACTATCCCCCGCCGGACACAATCCCGGTATTTCTGAGTCAAGGTTTCGGGGCTATCACAACTTTTATCTTAACTACAAACCTAACTAAACAATGGTAAAAACTATCCCCCGCCGGACACCATCCCGGTACTTCTGAGTTCAAGTTTCGGGGCCGGGAATAAATGTTAAAAGTATAGACCAAGAAAATATAAAAGGAAATGAATTGTGAAATCAGAAAAAGTGTTTCTTATAAGTAATTTTGAATAAATTAAGAGATTGACATTCTTGAATTCTGATTGGGATTTTGTTCCAAACTTTTTCTCCAGAGATTTTTAAAGAGCCATTCATTACAGAGCAAT